TGTTTACTTAATCAAGTCCAAGTATCAGGTTTCCCGACGAATTCATTTTTTCCCTCTCCGACTGAGTCATTGTTCAGTGAACTGAGGAATGGCGTGGAATAGATTAAGCGATGTTTGGCGCGTTGCCGAATAAAAGCCCGTCAAAAGTGACGAGGGCTTGGTTGGGTTAGTGGATGCAACAAATCACAATGATGAAAGCGCGGAAAATCAACGGAACTTTGGGGACAACGCCGACTATTGGAGACAAATCTGTGTCAATGAATATGGAAAGACAATCTTCTCAGGTTTTGCAAATTAACCCGTCGGGTTCAATTAAGTCATCACGTTAGTGCGCTCATCTATATAATGTGGAAAATAGAGAGCTCTTTCGGTGACCGCAACGGGGGATACCTCCCGGACAGTTATGAAGGTCCATGTCCAGCTTTTAAAAAGCGATACGCAATATTATGCCAGTACTACGGGGACGGGAAACAGAGCAATTGGGCCAGCATTGTGCACTATTTTGTGGCAGCCTTCGATAATTCAATACCCTTGAAGGCGCTGACTACCGAGGGCAACCTGAAACGACTAGTCGGTCATTGCCTTCACCATGGTGCGGAGTCAGGGATAATGCGTATGGTCAACAGATGCAAGATAAGATGTTTTTTGAGCGACCTTATTCCTGCTTTCTATAGAAGTCTACATCAACTCTGATTAAAATAGATAATAACGCAGAATGTACGCGGGTTTTTTGTCAAATCTTGGTCGGTATGGATGGCAGCATTGCTTAGTGTGCCGCGGAAAATGCGCCCAGGTATTTGGTGCTTTCAAGAAACCAACGTCATCGCTCAGGATGAAACGGATGTCTTCGATAGAAAATAGAGACAAATTGGGGACTATCCACGGAAGTCCAGTGTCGCCGCTTTCTTACTGGAGTCTCGGGACGCGGCGGGGTTGCTTTTCTTCTTACACCAGAATTGGTCCTATTGGCACAGCAATGACCAGGCTTTCTGACAACTCCAAGGCAACTTGCTTGAGATGTCCCAGACAGCTTTCTGATCGTTTGCATTTACGCACCTAACGACCGTGCGGAACGCAAACTTTTTTCGCGAGTCTACCAGTAGTGCAGCATTCCGCCGCCCAGGCATTTTAGCCAAGGATTCAAACTGTGCTCAACATTCCTCGACTCAACCGACTGAGGTTACGCACGGCTACTCGCACTGAAATCCCTGCTCTAGATACTCTTTCTGACGTGTACCACCTGGTTGACGCGTTAAATTTAGTTTCTCACCCAGACGACAACCTGGGGTGGAATTCATCAAACCACTTTACGTATTTGGTGGGGTCGGTATCCAACAAGAATGATCGCTTCTACGTATATCACTCATAAAGAGACCGCGAGCAATCGTAGGAGACAATTCTTCCACTTTCGGCTTCAGATCACTAGCAAACCACCCTGCATATGTCTTCGGGAATACGAAACCGGCTTCGAAATCCGGGAAAAGCCGCGTACATACGTAGGGCGAACCACGACTGCACGGTCGCCGAACTCATTTGCTTTTATACGGATAATGGCATGCAAGAATTAACTACAGCCCTGGCTTGGTATCACGGGGTCTGTCGCGTCTGACGGGAGATAGCAACTATCGCCCACAAGCTCAACAAACGACGAACACGGTACATCCACAAGCTGCGACGGCGGACACAAAGGCCACTGCTCACCCGACAGGCCTCGCACAACGCCCAAAAAAAGGAACAACAAGAGGCCTAAATCAGATAAATACGCTCACGCATTTGCCTCTCAGCGGTGCTGATTGTGGGAGGCGGCGTCTTGTAGTCTTCCGGCGTGAGAGATGTGCGAAGTTGCTAAAATTGGGGGTAATTTGGGCGTTAGTTGCATTACTCTTAAACATCAATTGCTGCTTTGATTCGTCATAAAACAGGGCGAGATCCCCATCTCGTATATTGAGGCGCATAGGGTCGCCCGCATCTGCTGAGACGTATCTCCACGATAACGTCTGGACTAAATGCAGGTTTCTGTAATGCATTCAGGCGAGAAAGGGCAGCCGAGTAGTGTTGGTCACAATACCAAAGGATAATGAGTTGCTGAGGAGCTGATGATATCCACTGATGGCATCCAGACACTCTACAATATTCAACAGCTCTCGGTGAACGATGCGATACCTTTGCCTTTTATGGATACCACTCCAGGCCAAAGTGCCGACAACTACATGGTTGTCGGTATTTTGGCGCGCGTAACCGCAACATACGTATATATTGCGACGTAGGCACATTGCCGCAAGTCTAATGGTGTTGCTTTCTCCCACGTATGGCCTGCGGTGGCCACTCCCCGTTTGAAAGTGCTGGATGCGTAGTACTCAAAAACTCATCAGAGTTGATCAGGGGATTCTGGTCGCGTCATAGATGGCCTAACACGATAAACGATTTGTAGGAAACGCATCTGGATTTCATGCGGTATGCGATCTTCGACATTTGAGAGCCCCATGGACTATAGACCCGATTTCACTTTTGAAAATGGGGTCTAAGATATTGCGCAGGTATTATTGGCCTTGCTTATACAGGCTTTATGCCACATGTCATGGTGCTTCTCAAAGAGATTTTGTGCACAACGGCAAATGCAAAAGACTGTATCAATGATGCTCGATGACCTTCAAAGCGCAGGGAAGGAAAGTGCTTCAAACGCTGACGCCATGTGCGCCATTGTCTTACTCGACTTTCGGAAGGCCTACGATGCGTTTAGCCGGGACTGTCTGGTTGAGGCGCTTCGAGTATTGGATTTGACGGGCAGTGTCTTGCGCTTATTCAACGACTATTACCAACACGACAGCACGATTTACAGTCAACGGTGAGCTTTCTTCTAGTCGGAAAGTTCGGTCTAGGGCTGTCCTTTTGCTCCCCTTCTATTCCTGGTAGTCGTCGATATTCTGGCCGTGGCAATACAAACGTCGCTGTCGTGAACAATATCTTGGAAAATCAATCGCGTTAAGAATTAGAATGCGTTGTTTGAGGTTAGTTGTAGCAGATCTGCTGTAGCAAAGCTACTTATGCGCTAGTTGCAGAGGAGGACTAGTTCCAAAAGCTGTATGTCTTAGAACTCTTAACCTTCCCGAGGCTATCCTTAACAAGCTTATACCTTTTAGTTATTTATCACCACGTCTCCAAGAGACTAGTATTACGATACAATTTCCTTTTGCAAGGACCAACGCTCTAGCATGTGTGCTATTTAGAGCAGGTTTGAAACGGATTTATATAAATGATTAACTTCTAGCACTAAATAATCGAAGCACCTACTCTATACTTAGTGCTAGTTACTATTATCTGGCTGTGAAGTCTACTTATATGTAAAAATGTATAGTCATTTTACTGAATTAAGTACAATGACCACGTAGCTCTCTTACCTTAGGTATCGTTGTACCCAAGGTACAGCCACACCACAATGGTGTGGCAGGTGTATATGTCCATTACACACCTTTGTGCAACCCACACGTTGCAATCAGGACCTGACACTCGTTCAAATTTGTTAATAACTTCCAAGGTCGTCGTAAACATGCGATGAGTCTGTGGGAGAGCTCTTGGCAGTGTGAGCTTCTGAAATTGTGGCGGTCTTCAAGGCCTCCAGCTGTGCGCTCAATCTACTTGATTACCTAAACAAACAATTACTCAGGAATACGTCCAACAAGATCGAACCCGGGACACACAAAGTTGCACCCGGCCTTCCTGTACACTCCCCGCAAGGCTGGGTATTGACCTTGCTTCCATCCCCGTCGCCATCAAAACACAGCAGGTGAAACACGCGCTATTGGCGCTTACCCGGCCGGAGTATGCTTATCTCACAGCGTGGATATCCTGGGTAACGCATGGTGCCCCGAACATGTCCGTTAGCCCCCATCGACCGAGCGTGAAACACACAACAGCGCCGTCTCTCGGGCGGAATCCGGATTTACTTCATGGTCTTGGACGCTCTTTGCATCCAGTATATCCTCGCACGGCTAAGAGCATCTACCGAACCTTCACTTACCATGGACCAGTTGGTGGAGCGAACGTCTGGATATTGCACCTCTCAGAATCTCTCCGGTCGGCCTTAGGAACCCAAGTTTTGGCTCCAAGAGATTAAAGATTTCTGGCAGACTTTTAAGTGGAGTAGTAAATCTTGGATTTTTGCACTACAAGGGTCAGAGCTGTCTTGGTCCAAGTATGACCGAATTTTGCGATGTTTCCATCGCCCAACTCCTCATCCAGCGGCAGAACCCCAGCAAGACGTCTTTAGCGGGATCTGCACGGACCCCACGTCCCCCGTCAGTCACAGCAAAGCTGCTCGCCTGGTACCCAAAAGACATCGATCTCGTTCACCACAGCCTGGCGAACAAATGGGAGGTCATAGGGACCGTCATTATTACAATGCGCTGGCAACACCGCGTCGACAGTGTGTTTTGCAATGCGGCTATCACGATGCAAGCCAGTGAGGCATTGGCTTGGAAAGGACTCAGCCCATAACCGTAAGCGCTCATCAAACGCCTCCATTGCAGAGCTAATACAGCCGTGCCTGGAGCCCAACTCTGTATGTTACGATATATTTATATCAGAACCGAGAGGGCTGTCTGGACTTAATAGCCGGCGTGCCAGCCATGGACACTGCCTGGACCCTCCAGCGTTGCTAGAGTAGTAAGCTACCTACCAAATATCTTGCACTAATCAGTAAATGGACAATTTAGTATTGAAATCCCCAGACTATTGTGTCTCGTTCGCGTAGAAGATGTGTGATGGGTTTGCCAGGGCAGCCTCGTCTAGGGGGCCCTTGGCCAATGACCCCTCAGGGCCGGAAAATACGGAGTCCATCGAAGTAAAAGCCATGACACTTTATAGACATTAAATATGATAATCATAGTATCGAATTTCCGACACCGGAGTACTGTATTCTCTTACTAATATAACTTGCCAAAATCGTCTCACTTCAGCGTTCAAGTACGACTTCACCCTCAATTTATTCGCAGGTCTATGGATCATGCTCTACGGAAAATTGCATTCACCTCATCCTGATAATAATGGCCGGGCCGTCTCTTTTTTCCCGTCTTCTGTTTCTTCATCTCTCGTTGTCGAAGTCTCTGCTTCTCCTTTACTGCTGCTTGATCCTGAGACAATTTCTCCGCCAATGCAAATTCCAAGTCTTCCATGTTTCCATACACAAAATCAATTAGTGAGTCCACGTCCATACCAACAGGAATTAGGATCCCCATGCCCTGCTCCGGAAATTCTTCGTCCCAACTTACTTGAGGCTCTTTCACATCCACATCGGCAGTAACAAAAAGCGTGACTTTGTTCCACACAAGACTGTGCAAACGTAACTCCATAAAGTTAACAAGCAAGAAGTTGGCAATCCAGTGGAATGCACTCTTTTTCATGTGCGCGTCATCAAATTTTGGCAAAAAAAGTCTCGAGTGGAGTAAGCTTGTTAGCACGGCGTGCTGCATTGCTAGAGGAAAGGAGCACAGAACGATGCAATTAATTAGCGACACCCCTTCCACAATCATATACCCCAACAACACTTACTCGGTCCGTCTTCCAATCCTGTCGTCATTTCGTGTACCATATTCTTTTCGTGTGTAAGCATCGCGTGGTACGTTTTGTTAAACTGTTCATGTTCTCGCTGCTTAGCTCGGTTGTGTTCTCCGGCTCGAACGCCGTGCATATCGGCATGATCTACAGCCGTGTCTTCCTCGACCAGCCACTCAGCCAACGCCGTCATTTTCTCCTCATTCTCCTCTGTCACAACAAGCGGCACGTGTGCCACCTCGAACAGATCCTTTACAATTCTTTTCGTCGTGCGCTGCCAGTCTCGCGCAAGAGGTGCTTGCAAAGCAGCCTTTGGATCGTCTCGAATGCTAATTGATCGTCCTATATTGGACAACGTACGCTTCACTAGTCGACCAGGGATCTCAACAGTGTAGTGAACACGGACGAATCCATCCACATGCTCTGGAGACTCCAAATCGTCTGTCGGGACGTGAAAAACCAGTGGAAACCGCACTGGCTCCTCTGAAACACCTTGACTGCAATTACCTAGTGCCAAGATATATTTGCGAGCATTAAATCCGTCGTTATTGCAGCCAAAAGTCGCAAGTTCCAAGAAAACGTTGAGTTGCTTGAGTGCTTCTTCATTTTCTTGTGCCAGAGTAGGTACTTGATGCTGCATCTTGTCCGGATGAAGTCGAAGCAATAGAGGAGATACATAGAGCGTTAGATTTAGTCCTTTGGTGCGGCGGACGACTGGAGACGTCGTAAAGTGGCGGCGCCAGAGCGACCCTGGTAACGTCGCCATTCGTGATACCATAATGGATTGAGTGGCTGAGGATTGGCTAAAAAGACGATATGTGTGTAAACTTGGTGTAGCGCAAAAGATGTTGCTTGGATGTGGGTGGAATGTGCATTCAGATATTAGAGAGACCTTGTCGTTGTCAATGTCTTCTTTTTAACCAATACACGGAGAGATACATAAAAATTGGGTACACTGAGATGCACCCATCAGCAAGTTGAAGTAACATTAAACGTATGGTAGACATGGGTTCAGTCTAAAGGCTATGGAACTAATGCGTAGCATCAATATGGAAACTATCAAGTAATAATGATGTTATTTGGTGCAATTTTTGAGATCATAAGTGCAACATATGAACTCGTGACGGTAGTAACCGATGTCATTCTTAATTATGAGTACATCGAACGTCATTGGGTTGAAGAATATCAATTGTCGCTTGTATTTCTCATGTTTAATGGGATTGTCATGGGATTTCTAGGACTTGGACGAAACAATTTGTCTCCGCATCGTTGTGTTTTTAAGCGTCAATGGATGAACCAAGTACTAGGATTTAGTATTGGAGTACTCCAAATGCGTGTCTTTGTCGAGACTCTCTATGCAGTGATTAGACGTATCATAAAGACTCGGGAAGTCAAGAAAAATGGTCGAAATGAACATGACACAGGTCAGGATGATCCTGTCAATGGGATACAGACATGTCGCTATGATGGAGACAGTGTATCACGTGAAGTAATGACGCAATGGACAAAGCAGTGTAATTCCAGTGTTTCGTACGTCACGTTCATTCAAGTGATTGTACGTGATATTCCATTGTTCATCCTACAAGCAAACGCTACGATTCATTATCGCAAGTGGCAGTTTATTGATATGTTCACGGTCATGTCGACTTTTATAATGCTCCTGCGTGGCACAGCCGCGTATGTGGCAAAAGAAGACAGATTTGGTCTGAAAGTGGTGGCTTTTTGTTTTCTAGTAGGTCAGTTTGTATTCCGTTTGGGAACGATCTTACTTTTGGCAATGACCAAGGGCTTGGCTATTCTCGTCTATGGACTCGTGATCACGCTGTGTGCCATCTTCTCGACTGCAATGCTACGCTTGGCACACCCGAGTCATCGATTTGTTGGCCAGCTACAGGCAGTTCTTTTCTTCCCCTTCTACACGTTGTTTGTCATTGATGGCTCACAGCTGACTGCCCAATGTGGATCAGCTGTTCCAGCTTTACGCAGCAAGAAACTTGTGTACCTTCACCTTTGGCGCTGTCTGGAGAATGTCGTGGGGATTGTCCTAGCAGTGGTGCTTCCACGCTATACCGATTTTGGCGTCAGCTCGGATGCGACCGTAGCGGTTATTGGTGTGATCTGTGCTGTCATTTACGTCGTTACAGGAGCTGTCTTTCACTTCTGTTCTGGTAGCTGTGCCAAGCATCATGCCAATAGCCTGGACACCACTAACAATGGAGACGCTACCGCCGAGAAGCCTTATTATCAAGACACTAGCAGCTTGTAAATAGTAAGCATCGTGTTGCTTCGCCCCGATCAACCGTTGGACGCATCAAGCCTAATTTGTATCGAATGGCTGAGGTAGCGAGAGAAACAGATGTATGTTGAAATGCAAAGTCTTTTTCATGTAAACAACAAGAGACATTGGGTTTCAGTTCTCCTTAGTGGCTGGTTGATATTGGTGGGACTGCAGCAGTTCCTCACAACTTCAGTATATGACCTTGCTTTGCGCTGACACACACACATCCAGAAAAAATGTTAACCTGGAAAGATTATACAATCGGGATATTAGGTCTTATGTGGCAAGCCTGACCAATTTCTCCCAAACAGTTCGCCCAGAAGTGTTGACTTATCAATTCATCGGGCGTGTAGCGATCCAGTACAACGAGTTCGTTCGGGAGTTGCCGTCATCGAAAAAATTCAGGCTCTGGACCTTTGCCCACGCATCAGTCGGGTCGATAATGGCTAGGTCCAGATACGCATAGCCCTTCCAAAGGTCTTCAATAGGGTCTTTAGCGCGGTGAAACGCCTGCTGCTGCAAAATTGGGTACTCCTCCTTGACATACGCGGGCGTTAAGAACTCGCTCGTGATCGGCGTAAACGGAATCATATTGATCAGATGCATATGCTCGATTTGTGGACCAAACCACGTCGTATAAGACACTTTCGTGGCAGCAACTTGACCCGTCATCTTGTTGGCCGCGTATATTGGTTCATAAATGTTAGAGGTAGACGGCATCTGCCAGTATGTTTGCGCACCGCGGATCTCCATGGCAAGAAGAAGATGGCCAATATGCTCCACCTCTGGAGCCTGGAAGGACTTGCCCACCAGGTACACGCCATAATAAGCGTTAATGGCTTCACTTACACTCTCCTGAGACTTGCCACCATCTAGAATGTAGACACCACTGGCAAATGAGTGGCTATCAAACCAAGAGAAGTGACGGGTGAACGGGAAAAAGGTGCTGCAATACAATGGACAACTACGATGTCAATCGCTCACAATCGATCTCTCAATAGCAGCAGGTGCAACTTACTCGGTCTGGTCAGGGCTAGCAATGTCGCGCACAATGGACATAACAGCAGCCTTATGCGTCTGTGCAAAGTCCGGGCGATACTTGCCAATCACAGCGACGGCATACAATAAGTAGCCGTAGTGAAAGTGCTGTGCACGAAAAACATAACAATACAGCGTTAATTGGCCACGTCAACGTTCTATGACTTTGCGCGCCGTCCTCACGTACGTGGTCGTTGTACCAGCCATTTCCAAAATCCGTCATCCAGAATACACCCTTCAGTCCATTTAGTGAGCACAAGCCACCCCAAGTACGATCATACACGAAGTGATCACTGTTCTGACCAAGCATCCATGGAGTCAACCATTCTTCAAGCCTATCAAGCATGTCATCACGTAATTTCTTTTCGCCTAGCTTGTCAGCGATTAGGACCAAACGGGCCTGACGACCAACCTCCTTTCCAAAATAGTAAGGGTCATTCGCTACTGGAGTGTACTTCGAGTCGTTGAACAAAGCAGTCTTTATCGCTTCCACATACTGAGGCTGAATCACCACACTTTCTTCTTGGAATGAGGTTGTTGGTAGCGTTTCCTGCATCTCCCAGCAGCTGCCGAGTATCGCTGTCATATTCGACTTCAGCGTGCGATGTCCAAACTGACCCAGCACCCGAATGGCATCGCCTTCAGTCTTTATCGTCGCTACATGATGCGGGTTTGCCACCATGAGCAGGTCAGAAGTTGAGTTTGAGTGATAACCCGGCTCACCTTGAGCACAGAACCTCTTGGTTTTCCAGCAGAACGAGAATGACCCGCTAACGTCATTGACGTCCATTGTAATCGAAGATCCCACGGGATAAATGTCAGCAGACTGGTCAAGCGTGTCGACTACAACCTGTGACGCTCCCTGTGGAACAATCGCAAGTCGCACTGCACCCGTGTAAAAGTCCGTATCCACTAGTCGAACATTGGTTGGGGTTGTCAGCTCACCACGGCTATTGTACGGTCGGTAGGTCGTCTCGTTGGCAAACTGAAGCTGCAACGTGCGGACCTTTTCAAAATACAAGATCCACTTTTGTCGGGCCTTGCCCGTTCCGTGTGCACTCTCTCCAGCACCATACACTTCGACGTCAAGTTCAAAACGGTTGCTGGTCCATGTCTGTAATTGCTTCCACGTCGCGAGTGAGTCCATTTTCTCGTCCACTTTTTTGTTATTGATACTCAATACAGTAGCGTTAAACTCAAGCACTGGAAGTACATTCTGGTACTCGACTGTAACGTAAGGTGAGCCACGGACCAAGGGCACTTTCATCCACTTACTATCTTCTTCATAATAATACTGTAGTAATACCGATAGAACATTAAACTCCACTACATTTCTTAACGTACTATTACCTTCTCCCAATAAGATCTTGTCTGTCTTTTGTCCATTTACAACCTTGCGGCTATAGGCAGTAAAGCTCGCATCCACATTAAAATATTCCATAATCGTTTCATTTGTCGCAACACGACGTGAATCTCCATACGAAATTTCTAGCCGTTTTGGTAAACTTCGGATTGTATACGGACTTAGAGTGAGTTCACCACAACCAGCATTAAGCCCATGATTATCGGCTACTAGTAAATTAGACCAGAATGCATTAGTTGGTAAGGATTGATTTAATCCATTAGGACGGACAAGTTTGGGTGGAATTGGATGCGTTTTCTCAATAAAAGGTGGTCGCATAATCAATAGATTGCTATCACTAGTGCGTTCAGATGCCGTCGTTGAAGGTTTCTTGGATTCATTACTGCTCAGAAAAATGATACAGATCGTAATTACGGCAATTAATGCCAAAGGAATAATGACGTACAAGGCACGACGTAAGGAGGAGCGATTATTTCCTTGTGGACGACCAAGTAACGGGGAAGATTCAGTTTGAGCCATTTCGTAATATCAAAATGAAACAAAAAAGTTACCAACACTTGTACCCTAAACGGTAAATTCTGAAATGACAACAATTTGTTACCATGTGTCTTATTGTCATTTATCTATGAATCTTTCAATCGGGTTTTATATATCTTTCAATTGGGTTTTTCATGTTTGGTCATCTGATTTTATCCTGTTATTTCTCAAATAATGACGTCAATTAGAACTGATACTAAATTGAGGACGACCTGCTATGACAAGTGATCTGTTCCATAACCAGTAGTAATAGTGGATGATACACGTGGAACTTGATGTGATGGTTGAAAATGACGCCATACAAGATAAGTACTTGATACAGTCACGTTAAAGAGACCGCATATCATCCAAATACTACGCTTTTGAGCAAGTAATACACCTGATAGTACCATGATCTTAGGCAGCGTAATCGACCAGGCACCAACATTACCAAATGGTACCACAAACGGACGCTCCGAGTCTTTCTCAACGTATTTGAGCCGTAAGAATGCAAAAAATTCCAACAGGAGAGTGAGACTACAAAATAGCAACAATCTTGTTAAAATACTGCAAGCTTGTTAAAATACTGCAAGCTTTATACTTGATAAAAACACCGGAGGCAATAATCACGTACTTGTTGAAAAAAGTGTCAAGTACCACCAGAATCTCAAAGGAGAAATTCATAAGCACGCCTGTTGTCAACGTTTGAAGAATCACGGCCGCAATTGGCGTCCCAAAACGCTCCCACTCGATCGCGACAAAGGAGGGCAGCATCTTGTAATCTGCTGTTGCCCACAATGCACGCGAGGTGCAAGCCATCACGACATTGAACTCTCCAAGAGTTGCAATAACTGCAGCAATACCTACCCACACACCCAACCATGGAGCAACTGTCATTGCAATGGTTTCCAAAGAACCTTCACTCCACTGGGAAAAATCAGATTGCACCATAATGCCTACAGCGACTACAAAAAATACATATGACAAAGAGATGTTTATATGAGCTACAGTTTACAAAGATAATGAACCATGATAAACGAACCAGGGACGGCGTAGTTCATGGTAATCAGTACCATTGCAATTACAATGGCAATCGGATAAGTCCTGCCGCCGTCCTTAACTTCACCAGCAACGCATCCAAGAGAATCCCAACCTACATCGATGCAAGTCATATATTTAGACACAAGCAAACAAACTTTTACCTATCCCAGTTTCGCATAGCCCACCTTGATAATTCCACAAAATAGTCGAGAGGAACAACGACCACTCAATTTCCGGTGCAACACTACCCCACGTTGCAAGGTTAAACGTCTCGACTGAAAGAGGCTCCAAAATGAAAGGCGCGAGCACAAAAATGGACATGAGCACTGAGGCCATGGCTACTGCGCGCATACCGACAGCATTTGAGACGAAGACAAGTAGCAGTGCTAAACATTTCACCAGCCATTTTTCTACTCCCGACAGTGTGTAGCCATAGCCAGACGCCAGAAACGCTTCAATGTAGCTGCAAAATAAAACAGGGTATGTTGGCAAGTCGCAGACATTGCTGGCAATGCAGTTGAAGGCATTCACCCAGCCAGCGTACTCGCCCAGTCCACGTCGCACCCACACAATGTAGCCACCGTTCTCATCAATCATTGTGCTGAGTTCTGCAGTCTACGTATCACAGAAAGTCAACAAACATGATTGCCAAAAGCTACAGTCAATCCCTTTACTCACCATCAAGGCTTGTGGCAAGCCCCACGTAAACGGAAGCAAGACCACAGCCAGAAGTACCGGATAAGGTCCTGCAGCTCGTACTGCATCTTCAACACCAAAAGGTCCTGCTGCTACTGCAAAGTAAGCGATAAAGCCAAGTGTGATGTGGTTAATAGTGCGTGCCTTGGTCTTGCTCTGCTTTTTCGTCTGCACCTCAATGCCGTCGTACTCCGACTGATTCTCAAGCAAACAATGGCTACTCAATGGACTCGGTATATTACGCCATGATTTAAGTGATGATCGATCAGCAGACGATGGCGGCACCAGGTGCAGACCGTTCGTTTCATCGCGCAAGTCGAAGTGCGTGCGGATGATTGGACGAATGTCCAAGCTGCTGATGGTCATGGCACTTTAATTCTCTTTAGCTTTCGACTAGTCACGTGTTTGATTGTTGAATCAATTGACCTGTATCCTATTGCTTGGCTTCTTGACGTCAGGTACTCGTATAAGTAAAGCTTTAACTACTCGCCATACCAACACTGTAACAAATGGTACTTGGTCTCAGGTTTCACATGACTGTTGGTGACATGAATGGTGGTTACTGCGTACACAACACAAGATACAACATTCGTGCAACATCCACCTTTGTCAAGTCTACACCAGTCATTCTGAACCACGACGGCATCATTCGACTCAGTTCCAAATTTGATCGCCATCCATCTATCTTTCATCCATCACACGCTATTCTGCGAGGCTTCTGTATGCATTCATTGCATGATTTGCACATCCAACAGCCCGTTTGTACTCTGAACGTGTGCGAATGGGTATAGTATGAAGCATAAAGTAAGCATGGCGATACAAAGGCTGCAGGAAGTGCATTTGTGCTGTCCAGAAGCCGTCTGCACTGCTGTGTCTCTTGTTCCGGCGCTGTGCGGTCAAGGAGTGATGTGGTGGTCGCACATGTTTGTCTTGTTCATCAATTAAGCTCGTCCAGTTTGCTGCAAGATACACTCTGTTCTTTTCTTTGTTCGTAGAAAAGTCCAATTTTTTTCACTTGCTAGACTGAATGCCATTCTACTCACCATCGCGTTCATCTCTTCCAAGGAGTCAGTGAGTGCAATGGTCTTTAGAGTGGTGACATATTATTTGCGAATATCAAAGTCTATAGATGTATAATCCAAATCATAGAAACACACCCGTAGGTAGATACAGTTGGAGGCCGAAGTGAGGAAAATACTGTTGTGGAGATATTCAATGATATTCACATTGACTACAATTCTCTGATCGATCCAATTCAATCATTTGTATGATGTCGAGACGTTTACATGTCTTCGTCTAGATTCATCAAAAGTAACCTTTGCATGATACGTGCTTTCTTATGCTGCTGAAAAGCTCAAACTGCCGTCAGAGTCATCACATTTAGCTCATAGTCTAGCAGCGAATCTTCGTCTGCTGCAAAGCGGAAGTTTCCTTGCACGCTCTTGCCACTCAGTACATGTGGTAGCCAAAAGCGATCGTCTGCCCACATGGTATTGAACGGAATCCGAGAGACGTCGTACCACTGCGGCTTCATCTCGTTGCTCTCCGATGGCTGACCCGAAAATTTCTCGGTCACGTAAACATGCACCTCCTACAACAGCAATACTATTGAGCTTTTCTCCTACCCCCCGCGCTTTTCTCCTACCCCCGAGCTTTTCTCCTAACCCAATAACAACATCTCTATCCCACTCCGTACCATCACTTCATTGCTTTGTTCAAATGTAAACAGCAATACACCACGTGACTCGAGGTCCTCAACACTCACTTGCACATTGGCCTCTTCTTGTATTTCCCTTACTGCTGCTGACGCGATACTAGTGTCCGTACGTTCTACTTTACCTCCAAACCCATTCCATTTCCCTATACCAAACCCTCGTTTCTTTAACCCTAATAGAACATGTCTCTCTTCATGAGGCACAACGCCATTTCGCACAAGGAACGCCAGTGTCAATAGCTTGCGATGTCGTGGTGGCATGCTTATCATGTCAAACTTGATTGAAAAATCAGGTCCCTCTCGAAATGCATATGTTGTTTCACAGGAGATAAAGTATCGCATACTATTTCCAGATCAAAAAATACTTCAACGGGATCTTTCACCTCATTTCACGAAAAGCAAGCTCCAAAACAGATCCAAGAGTGTTGGTCTTTGTGAAACTTTCGAGTTGGTTGAAGTTGTCTTTCAATCACTTCAACCGCGCATTCATCATGTCTGGGATGCTAGTGATGGCGTTACTCTCCGTGAGTGTGTCGCTGTCGCTATGTGTTGTGCCCGGCCTAGCACGCATCACGGTCTTCCCACTGCTTTCGAGGCTTGTGCATAAGTTTGCGGCCGTTTATTTGACTGACAGCATTCAGATTGAGTATTATCTTGGCTCGTTTGACGTGCGTGGACGACGTGGCACCGGGACGGTCACGGAGCAACTGCGTGGCGTGACCATCTCACTGTTTTATGTGGCGCTACAAAGCGAGTTTCTCAAGACGTTGGCATTTACGAAGCAAGGGCTAGCACCATTTGACATCCAGCACGTAACCATTAAGAAAATAGTAATCCATTTGGCTACGACGTGGAAGGTTGTGGTCAAATTAGAAGGTGTGGCTGTGGATGGTCAGATGGTGGATCCCAATGCGGAAGGCGTGTTTGAGCTGCAAGATGCCGTGGCTATGAAGCTGAGCGAGGCGAACAACTGGGTCACTCAACTCATTGCAGAGCGCACCAAGACAGAGCTGAGAGAGAAACAAGAGGAGCAGGCGACAACATCGAAAGCTTTTGCCTTCAAAGATCGCGTGTTGCAGCAGATTGCGGCGCAAGTAGACGTCCATGTGAGCAATGTAAGAATTGGTGTCACAGGTCTGATGCCCGGAGATTCTGCTGTCGGCGGCCGTGATTGTGAGACTGAGGATAAGGACAGTGAGGATGCAGACGTGGCCACGACCAGCTCAATTCCCGTGTCTTTGAAGCCGACACGTGCGATTTTTGTCATGAAATCGTTTGACTTACGATCCTACATCCTACATGATAATCCAGAGGAAGCTTTGCAGCTTATCTTGACGTCGGAGGAGATTTCGATGGAGCACGTGATTAACTTCAAGGGTGTAAACATCTGTGCTGCTACTGTGGATGATGAAACAAACGATGACATGACCGGGGTGGAAAAGAGAAAAGATTTATTGAAAGATAACGAAGGAATCGGTTTTGGTGAACTACCACTGCTGTCTTTGGCAAATCTCGACCTAAAGCTCCAGGTACCGCCCATGCCACGGTTGTTGGGCATTGTGGAGAACATTGCTCCTATTCCGGTAACGAACCGTGTGGCGCGGGTGGAGCTTGTATCGTCGTCGATCACTAACCTTACAGTCACGCGGGAGCTGATTGTGGGAGTGCTGCGCGATTTAGTTGTGCCATACATGGATTACCAGGTTCTGGTGCAGTCGATGCGTGCGTTAGAACATGATGAGACTGTTCGAACCCCGCTGTTGAAGGAGGATGAAGCTTTCTACATGGATAATTACGACCAAGTGGATAGCAACAACTTGTTGTCAGCTCAGGATAAAAAGGATCGCAATGACAAGCTACGCGAACTTGAAGCAGTCATGTCGCTGGACAAAATTCTCAAGCTGCGTAGTCGATCCACTGGATTGGCCAAGTACTACCGTCGTGATCAAGAGGAGCTCTCTCTTTCCGATTACATTGCAATCGTGAAGGAGAATGCTGCCAAGACAAGCAACATCATGTTTAAAGCAATGCAGATTACATTACGCTGGGATAACATGAGTGTTGCGTTCGTTGAACGAGGCCGTCAAGTTTCTGAGATGGTCGTGAGCGGCTTTGGCGTCAATATGCGCTCGTTCACCATTGCAGAAGGCGATGAGAAACAGAAGCTAGACGTAGAGGTTGCATTGGACCAAGCAACATTCGTCGTTAACGTCGAGTCTTCGGCTTCGAATTCTGTTTCTCCAACGGCAAAGGTAATGTTTGCGGACTTCAGCAAGGTAGCTGCAGAGTCTGGCGCAATGTCGCCGCCACAGATGCTCACGGCCCATGTGAGTCAGCTTGAAAGTGGTAAGCAGAATGTGTGTGGTACAGTGAACAACATGAAGTTGGTACTCTCAGTCGGTGCGCTGGAGCGTTTCCTGCTGTTTGTTGATCGGCTGAGCACAAAGACAACTCAAGTACTGTCGACAGCGCGGCCGCCTTTCGTACCAGTTTCTCACTCTGAGTTATCGCCTGCCGCAGTCCAGGTTGCTAAAAGCGAGGTAGACATGGTGAGAAAAGAGATAACAATGTCTCCGTTTAGCTTGCTTGGCGGCATGCTGTTGAGCCTGGATGTCAACTTGAAGGACTGTCACATCGTTCTGCTACCCACTCAGTCGTACTCAAAATCACTTTTTATGGATATTAACGCGGAGACATGGCAAAGCGATTACGAGGTAGATTGCCGCGTGGATATGCCTGCCTCATTGAGCATGCATCTCGAAAGTTCAAAAGTGAAGGAATTGCTGGAGCTTAACGTTCACAGCTTCAATATCGGCGCCCAGTACGTCAATGATGCTAAGGAAGCGGAAACTATTTTAGCTCCAACAAGTATCGTATTTCAGTTTACCCTAAAACAAGACGTCACGGATCCTCTGATTTGTCACCAGAGTGTAATGCTGCACATGCCAGATGTCTTGGTTGCTGGGTCAGACCTCAGTTTGTCGTTATTGGCGTCCTGTGGGGAGGCCCTCAGTAACGTGCAGACAACAACGCCCGAGCAAGCCCAGCTTCGGCTCGAAAGTCGTGTAAAGCAGGAAGAAATTCGACGCCAGGCGGAAGTCGACACAGTCCTCGATCGCTTGCACCGACTTTTTGACGAAATTGATGAAAACGGGAACGGCTGTATTGAGCTGGCAGAGCTTCTTCTCTTACTGCGCCGGGTCAAGGTTGGCGACACATTGCTGGAAAGTGAATTGGAGTACTTTGTTCGCGAGCTCTTTAAGGAAATTGACCAGGATGGTAATGGCTATCTTGAATTTCAAGAGCTCCGCGCATTTTTGCGCGATGATCTTTTGTCAGATAAAGCTGCTGAAGCTTCTGGTTCGAGGCCAGGAAACGGCAGCAATGCTCTCAGCGGCTTCCTTAATCTGCGCGGAAATGAATACCATTCGTTTGAAGTCATTAACGAGCTATGCGAGACGAAGATAACATTTTCTGAACAACTCGCAGAGTGGATTAAGCGCCCTGCGTTTGAGGGACGCTTTTGGGAACTTTTTGAGAGTGAAGCTCACATTAAGAATCGTTCAATCATCAATCAAAATCCGCTGGATTTACAAAAAAAGCTGGTTCGGCTGCTCAAGAACTATGACGCCGCGAACCTTATCTGGGATGCGTTGGTGTTGCCTGCGATGGAAGACAATTGCTCGGACCGTTCTATATATGAGTGGCTACTGCAGCCGTCCACGCGCTGTGGAGGTATCAGCGAGTACCAGAGCGCAGCGAAAGTTATTGCAAAGAAAAAACGTGACGGTATTTTTAGTGCAGCCATCGAGGAAACAGAGAATTTGGTAAGCAAGCTTACACAAAATATGAACTTGGTGAAGAAAGAGCTGCACTTCACGACAGACGTAAAAATGGGAAACGTGCGACTAGTTCTTATGGATGCTGAACTACCTGCTCGCTTTTGCCGTGGTAATTTTGTCATCAAAAATGTAAAAATATCGATGAGGTTCAGTGGCAAAAATATTGACGAAATTGGTCCCATAGATTGGGTCGATCTGGCCATGTCTGGGAACACCGACTGGACGCTGTTGTTCGGCTTCAAGATGTCGTCGTCCTGTTATAGTGAAATTGCCAACGACATGGAAAACATCATCGAGCCATGGGAACTGGTTGCCGGCGTGTCTTCGAGTGCTGGCGAGAACGGATTTGCTGTTCTGTTGGAGGCTGCGAAGCGATTTCAGATTAATGTGACTCCAAGCGTCCTCAAGACCTACCGTGCGCTGATGGACGCCCTTGATGGAGCGGCTCAGCAGAATGGGCTGCAAAAGCATCAAGACAGCTTCCAACTTTCAACTGCTGCAAAGAAGCAAAAAGAAACAGATTGTCTTGTGCAGAACTTTACGGGATGCAAGATTTCCTTGAAACTAAACGGCAGTGATGAGGTAATCACAATTGACGCGCATGATCGCGCTCACATTGAAAATGGAGCTTTGAAGGATGGCGAGGCTGTAGTAGACTTACTTGAAATTGATCAGTGGGGTACAAGTAAAAATTCGGTGAAGTTGTCTTCCTTTGGTAATGTCAGCGTTGGTGTGAGTACAGCAGAAGCTTCACCATCATCTCTATTTGTCACAGTGTTTTCGCGATTGGAAAACCCGCGACGACAGCTTATTGTCCTAAGATCGAATACGTACTTCTGCAACCACAGCTCGGAGTGTTACGAGATGAAGTACCTGAGCTTAGGAAATGAGGATCGAAAGGCGGTGGAATCTCCCGTCATTAAATTGCGACCTAATGAGCGAATTTCATTGCCGCTCTCACTATTGATGGGCATGACGGAGTTTTACGCGCGTCCTGAAAATCATGAACACTGGATTGTAAAGACTTCTTTGAACAATGACGTGCTAACATCTACTACGGCAATCCAAGAGCTCAATGAGCACGAAGCTGAACGGGAAGCGAGAACGAAGCAGCGCCGAGGGGGTGGAACTATTGTGTATGGCCAAACCGAGGAAACTTGCACAAAGGTGGTGAAGCGCCTCATTCCGAATATGATCGTGCGACGATGGCACTTACGTTCGCATTTCGAGTATGAAATAGCGTTGCTTCCTCCATTTGTGGTACGCAACTCGTTACCCTATAAGATGGAATATCGATTTGTCGAGTACAAGTCGAGTTCATCGAGGGACATGAAGGCTGAATTCACCAAGGTAGATACGCTATTACGGTGCGAAAGCACACCTAAACCATCGGATGGTGTATTAAGCGGAGTAGTGAAATCAGGTCACGATGCCGAAGTATCCGGTGTTTCTGGAGGGTATCCTGGTTATTTGTCTATTCGTTTGGTTGCCCAAAAGCAAAACACAGGCAAGCATGTGACGTCTGCGTGGTCAAAACCGCTTCTGATGATGATTCACAAAGGAGTCGAGCAGTTTACGATGTCGCGAGAAAGCGTAGAAGCCGACGTTGGCCTCCACTTCAACATTGACCGAATCACACTTCCTGGCTGCCCTCGACTCGTACGCTTTTCAAGCACTTACTGGATCGTGGACAACACGTCGCTTGCATTTGACTATGCGTCTACTGAGCCTGGTGCAAAGCGAAACTCGTGCAAGGCCATGCGTGTGTGTGCGCCATTCAGTTACCCTGTCATGACGTCGCTGCCGCATGATCGTCTGAGCTTAAAACCGCTTGCCAACCTCAATCGCCGCCCAAAGGCATGGGAAGCGCTCGGTAATATGCCAGATACAGCGTTTAAGGCTTCAGCGCTCTCGGAACATGCAATCAAGAATGCGCAGTGGTCGGAACCTATTAACACGACAGCTATCAATACCATGGGTGAGATCGTGTGTGGTCCAAGCGTTTTTGGCTTGAAAATGGAAGGCCTTTATGGTCTATTCCAACCAGGTGTCTCGCTTACGTTAAGCCCCCCGGTATTTCGTTCAAAACCGCTTGAACCAAAAGCTATACATTCAGAGCTTTGCCTCGCACGACAAGGACCCGCAGAAGGTCGACGATATGTTCCACAAGCGAAGTGTAGATGATGTGAAGCAGTTACATCTGGCTCTGGAGGACAGTCAGACTACACCACTGTATCACTTCGGGTCCTTGAAAAAGGGCGAGTCTGTGGAGCAAAGTCAGCGCTATATTTCGTTCTCGTTCTCAGAAGAATGGGGCACTGACGCTGACAAAAAGAACTGGTCGTTTGCGATTCCGATCAACACAGCTGGAGACGTCTACTTACAGGTCTACTCATCTGTGCGCCAACGCTATCTTATTTGCCAAGCGAGTGTGCAAGTGGTGGACATGTACGTCTATGTAGTTCTGACAGATGTGTCTTGCGCACCACCGTATCGCATCGAAAATTACACCCCGTTCACGATAGATTACGCTCAGTTGGGCGAGTCATCTATTTTCAGTAGCGGGCAAAAGCAAACAGCTGCTACTATCAAACCCGGGGCGTGGCACGCTTTTGCGTGGTTTAATCCTTTGTCGAAGGATCGCCACGTCGAGCTCCGTCTGTCACATATGGATGCCCTCAAGGCGCAGACGAAGAAATATGACATTGACTATGTTGGCTACCTGGACCCCATCACCATGTGGGTGTCTCATGATGGCGAGAAACAGCACGCCGTGAGGTTGACTGTACAAGTCGTTGTTGACGAGAGTACGCGTGTGCTCAAAATTGCTGAGAAGGAACTAGAGCTTAGTCTATTGACAACCCAGGACTCGGAGGGTGATCTCCAGCACCGACGAATGCTTTACGCATCTTCTTTCGACATTGCATTCGTGGGTTTTGGCTTTTCCTTGCTGGATGGCTTCCCACAGGAAGTATTTTTCGCATCGGCAGATATTATGAAGGTGCAAAAAGCCCCTGCGTCGCTGGAATGGACATTCTCGGTGCTGCATTGCCAAGCAGACAACATGTTGGCGACTGCTAAGTTCCCTGTAATAATGAATCCTGTAAGTTCAGGCTACAGTGATAAGTCCGTGGGCAAAGAACCTGAGCCGTTTTTGAAGCTGGTTCTTGATGCTGACCTGGAAGCTCGGCTGGGAACGTACAAGCTGCTCGAATTTAGCTTAGGTGACGTAGCAGTGAAGGTGGATATCGATTATCTGGTGACCCTTGTAAGACTTCTAGAACCGTACTTGGTCTCTGATGCTACCACGGCCCACCGAACGAAGCTAACGTTGGAGAAAACGCTTCAACGTCGCGCACCACCAATGCCGGTAATGTTAGTGACAGCAGAAGGTGGCATTCACACAGATTTGGTGTACTTTGACGTCTTGCGCATCTCGTCGTTGTCTGTTGAGTTAGAGTACTCAATCACACGCAAAGACATCGTGTCGTCGACTGGTGGTGGCCACTCGGTGATTTTTGGCTTTCTAAGCCAGATCATTGGCCTTGTCGGATCAAACCTAAGTGGTTCGCCGACGTTTAACTTTAGCGAGATTGTGATTGTACGCTGTCTATCAACGAAGCAGAGGCTCCAGAATCAGTTGATCGCGAACTATGTTCAGCAGGGCATACTGCAGGCGTACCGTCTTGTTGGCAGTGCAGATATCATTGGCAATCCGATTGGACTTGTTGAAGACTTGGGTTCCGGTGTTGTGGAGTTTCTAAAGATCACAAAGGGTGAACTGACTGGCGATGCTCAAACTCGTGGCGAAGGCGTGAAGGTGCTGGGCAAGACTATCGTAAAATCCGGTGCGTCTTCGGTCGCGAGGATTACAGGCTCGCTAGATAAGTTTGTGGGCGAGTTCGCGGGCGACAGTAAAAGCGATACATCCGGTGGTAATGATTCGTCGTCGACTGACAATGCTGGTGTCAAGTTTGCAAAGGACCTCGGCCGCGGCTTCACTGGTATATTTACGAAGCCTGTCGAGGGAGCTATGAAAGGGGGTGTGGCTGGACTTGTGCAGGGCACAGTACAAGGCATTACCGGTCCTGGTGTTGTCCTGCTCAAGGGTCTTACGTCGACGTCTCATAACCTTGCGCTGGGTGTACGGTCTACGGTCGTAGATCGCTCCCCATTTGGCGGCCGCCGCCGGAAGCCGAAACTTGTTAAAAATGGTAAGTTGATTGCAGAGTTCGATGAAACCCATTACAAACCTACTCTGTTGAACTTGGAGATACTGGGTGCTAATGGACTGGACTCGGATAAGTCATGTGATCCACTCTGTGTTGTACGATTGGATGGTGTTGATGTAATGAGGACTGCGGTAATTTACAACACGGTAAACCCAGTGTGGCAAGAGAAAATACAGCTAGCGTTAACAGGCAAGGAGAACGAGGTGCAATTCGTGGTAAAGGACTCATATGGCGGCACCGTAGCCAAGACAATTGGCAAGTGCATTTTGAGCATGGCGCAGCTCCAAGACGACTTTAAGCCGCCTGAGTATTCGTCAGATCTTGCCGAATGGGTTCACACGGAGGTTAAGCCAGGAAACACCAAGATGAACACGAGCCATGTGATCGCAGAGAAGGATTATCCACTCGTCATGCTGCAGAAAAACAGCTTAAGAGTGAACCATGCAGCGTTGTTGAGTGATGAGAAGCACCAGGTACTCGTTACAGTTGTATCATTGACAAATATGGTCGTCACTAGCTCAACTGGTAGTGGCATGCTTGGGCTGGGCAATCTAGGAAGTAGTGCACTCAACATTTCACCATACATTTCAGTGCATGTTGGAAAAAACGTCAATCGCACGAATACTGCGAGAATGTCATTCACCAAGAATCAGAAGAACGAGCAAGTGGGTCAAGCGTCATGGGGAGAAAGTTTTACCTTCTCAGTCACAGCAAAGGAGCTTCATCGCGGCGGTGCCGATTCGAGACTAGTCGTTTATCTGAAAGACAAGAGTATGATCGTGGACGCACGACTTGGATCGGCAACTCTGGACATTGACGCGAGAATCAATGCACCTGCTACAACGGAAGAGCTGGTACTAAGGGACCAGTCCGACAAGCCGATCGGATATCTTACACTAAAGGTGGAAGTCACTGGCTCTGCCACATCGTCACGCTCGATGTCGCTCCAATCTATCGAGTCAGCCGAAGATATGGCACATCTACCACTAGATGCAGTCAAGGCCGGCACTATCCGCGTTTCATGCGTGTTCGAGTAAGCGAAGCACTTCATGTTTTGACTCCTTCAACATATTAACATTGTGTCGATGAGATTTTTAACGCATTTAAATGAGTGTTCAAACCACACTATACATCAAACGGATCTACGCGTACGAGCGTTTTAGAGTCTCACAACTTGTGACGAACGAATTAATTTTTCACGACGCCTCACGAGATCGAACTCACAAAGCGGGGAGTGAAAGAGTAAATAAAATGGACGAATACTCAGGTCTTTAGTTCGCAAAATACTTGCTGCCTCTAAGTCTGTTATTCTACTCTCAAAACATTCTTCTCGATATTGAAGTGTGTTGTCGCTGTCTGATCTTTCTCATCTGAGTCACAAGGGATTGCTGCAATTTGCTGAAGATATTGGACTTGCAACGCAACACCTTCAAAAGAGATACAACCAGCACATCCAAGTGACATTACAATTTGAAGTCACTTATTAACCCTCGCATCCCGACTAATCTCCGTGTTTTTCTCCCAACCAAACGCTTCCAGGAGTCCTTGACCAGTAGTAGCATTTGATATTGTAAAATTCTGTAGGCTGTCTTTAACGACAACAAAGACAATCTCCAATCTGTCAACGTTAAAACTATCGTTCGTTTCCGAAAGCTTCTTCAGCCACGAATAGAAGTAATCGATACGAAATGTGTGCGCGCTTGCACGAGTTATTTGTACCATCCTCACGAATCTAGTTTGCTTACACACCATAATAGCATCGTATCCACCTTGGTTCCATTGAAGGGGTCTAATCCAAACAGGGCCATCCTTCTTGAGTTCAGGTACTCCATCTGAATCCACAACAGTAGATTGTTCCCACTTATCAACAATGTTATCACTTTCATCGAATATTTCGAGACCGCCATGTCGTAAAGATATAAAAAAAGCCATCTCCAACATCCATCCACTAAATGCCGGGTTTGCAAACTCTCGATACTTGAAAAAAAAATGTTTGATCTCATCCGGACCGGTTTTGATTCCAATTTGAATTGCAGTATAGCGACTAATCAGCGGGGCTATTACCCCCGTGGAAGTATGACTTTCGAACAACGCAAACAGGCGGTTGACGATAAGAGGCGATCGGCTACCACTTGAAAGAGTCGCAGTACTATAATCGGGTAGCATTTCAATAGCACGATTCAGCTGGCGAATCACCTCTGCCGTCGTATACAGAAACATATATCGACATGACCCGCCTGCATAGTGATACTTAGTCTCCAACAAAAAAGCGCGATTATCGAAAGGGTCGTCAGACTGGCTTTTTCGCCTTTTCTTCATTGCTTGTTGCATCGCATTAGTCGACGATGTATTGTTACTTGTCGCGTCAAGTTTTGGCAACACGTTGTTGAAAAACTCTTTGTCGTTAATTGCGTCAAGGTATTCATCCAATGTCCAGGACCAAACTTCATGCTCCAATATCTTCCAATCATACTCAAAATCTGCACTAGATTTTCCACGAGAGGCCACAGAGCATATAAACACAAGTCGTTTCTCTCCAGAAACATTTGCACTGGTATACCATAGGAAGCACGTGCCTTCCAGATCTCCTCTACTTTCCGTATAAGTCCAGCCATCAACAAGCACCAAACAATTCTGGGCATTGATGGATTCCAGCAATGCCGTTAACTTCGCAATATCAATGGTTCCAGTCTTTCGCTCTTGACCACTCATATGCACACACTTTAAAATTTTACCTTCGACGTGAATCCAGATAACATCCCATCTGGTCCTGTCAACAGCTAACGCAAAAACCATAGCGGCGGTTGACTTTCCCGTTCCAGGAGGACCGAGTACATAGCCAACATGTTTTTCTTCCAAGACTTTCTCACGCATGAAATCGATTTGCCGATAAAAGGAGGGCCTGCAGTACAGCTTTAGCTGGCTACGAGAAGCTCCAAAATCCCATACATCCGCCTTCTCAAGCGATACATGTTTGTCCTTGGGATCATACGGGAAAGGCCTCTGTTGTAACGGGGTTACACGAAGGTGTGTATTTTATATACATACCTGCCACACCACATGTGGTGTGGCTGTACCTTCGTCACAAAAGAAGGCTTGATGTGACAGTACCTGAAGTACGAAGGGTCACATCGTGGCAGAGACCACGTGGTCACTATACTTATTTAAAGCATAGTGACTATGTATGTTTGCATAATAATAACAGGCTATAGAGCCATTAAATAGTGACTAGCACTAAGTATAGAGTTGGTGCTTCTATATTTAGTGTTAAAAGATAAATATAAATCAGTTTCAAACCTGATCTAGAAGTATCACTGCTTGAGCGTTCATTTCCTTCTAAGGAATCTAAGTATCTTTGATACTAGTCTCTCTGAGACGCGGTTACAACAGCCGATAGGCACAAGCTTACGAGCTAGCCTAGGAAGGGTTAAGCACCCTAAGACGTAGAAGCTCTCTGAGCTTGTCTTCCTCTGCACATAGTGCATACGTAGCTTTGCTACAATAGTCTGACTACTTCTGCACAAAGTTCATCTGCACATAGTTCATCTGCACATAGTGCATCTGCACATACTGCATAAGTAGCGTAGCTACAGTAGCTCGGCTACACCTGGTAGCACTTGTAGTCAATCCCGCACCTGTGTTTGCGACTACTTCTCTGTGTGAGAATGGACATCGATGAGATGTCAGCGGTTGACCTGCCACAGGCACAACAGGAAGCGTTGCAGAAACTGTTCTCGATCCTTGGCCCTAAGGGCTTGGAGTACCTCATCGCCCAGGGCGAAGAAGAGGTTAACAAGCGTATTCATATGCTTGATGAATATAACAATGCTCTAGTCGAGCATGTAAAGGCACAGATGCCTTCTTCTGCGCCTTCGCCCATGGCGACTATGGCGCAAGAAGTGGTCCGCAGACCAAAACCCATACAAATGGAAGTCGATAAGTTCGACGGCAAAGAAGGTGACAACCTTATGCTTTGGTTCCGACAGGTTGAGTCGGCTATGTTTATAGACGACATCACCTATGAACCATACCGTGTGTGCTTTGCCACGGGCAAGTTAGGTGGCTTAGCCAAACAGTGGGCATTCACATGTGGTGCATCATTTCAAGATGCTTTTCCCACATGGGCCGATCTGAAAGTTCAGATGACCCGGTAGTATGCGCCGCCAAACCAAGCACACCGTAACCGGTCGCGGTTTTTGACGTGTCGCCAAGGCAAGCGTGAGCTTGCGGCATATGTACAAGAGTTGAGAATTCTCATTGCTGCCATGGTCATAGACCCTATGCCTGAGGCAGTGACCGTCACGGTCTTCATGGAGGGCCTCCGAGTTGGCGTTGCCAGAGCGGAAGTCTTCCGGGTAAACTCGTCCTCATTCGAGGAAGCTGTTGGAGTGGCATGGAATGCCGAGACCAACTTCAAGTCCTCTAGGCCTGCGACTAATAACTACTCGTCTGATGGGTCTGTACCCATGGACTGTAGTCAAGTGGAGGATGAAGAAGCTGAGCTTCATGCTGCGGAGCAGCAAAGTATGCGAAGAAGTTATATCTGTAAGAGCACAGGCCATTTGATAACAAAATGCCTTGCAAGAAAGGCATATTTGGCAAGAAAGGCATATTTGGCCTCGAAGGGCCGACGTCCCACGGGTAAACCTTCTGGTTTGCCGCGGAGAATCGGCGGAACCCAGTAGGTGCGGGGTGCCCTACTGGGGAAGAACTGAGTTCTGTTGAACCTCTAGGAGGTAGAAGTAAACAGGGCTCAGCCCCAAAGAGATCTGAACTCTCAAAAACGGAACGAGAATGCAAGCCAGGCTTGCTAGTCGTCCAAGGGACGATTTAGGGCTATGATAAGCCATGGATCATTTTGATCGATTCGGGGGCATCGGGCAATTATGTGCGCCGCGCCACCGTGGAAGGTAGTCAGCAGTATGCTGAAGCGCTTGTAGCGCGTGAAAGTGACACAGTCACAGTTCGCTTAGCGACGGGTACGCGTGTTACGGTACCCAAAGTCCCGATGGACTTAAATGTAAAATTCTTGGACTTTAACAGCATGTAACGCTGTTTGGTCTTAAACCTGGATGCGAGGTATGAACTCATTCTAGGCATGGCATGGCTAGAACGCCACAATCCATGGATTGCTTAGAGGTCGAAGACCTTACACGCAACGCGCAATGCTCCTGCTGGGGATCTGGAGAGTCATGAACCCACCTCTGCTAGGAAGCAAAAGCGCTTTTGGCGCGGATATTGGACCGAGTCGGTCAATTTGTTGGATGTCGGAATATCCGACTTTGTAGACACTGTAAGTGTCGAGGACAATAGTCCTGGGCGAGGACCAAGGACTGTCGATAGTGTGGTTGAGAACCCCCTAGATGGCACATATGACATGTGTCATGAGAATGATGTTACATCATTAAACACCGTGAGTGGTGTTGGTGGCTGCAAGCCAAGATGTCAGGACATGAGTCCAAGTGACATGTGTGACGAGGAACTGACCCTGGATGGCCGGGTGAAGCCACAACTGGATGTTGTCTTTGTGAACAACGAGGTGCATGCACCTAACGACAAGGAACTGACCCAAGAGGGTGGGTGAAGTCATCAATGGATACTACCTTTGAGGATAACGCGGTGCATGCACCTAGTGACGAGTTACTGGCCCAAAAGGATTGGGTGAAGTCATCAATGACGGTTGTCTTTTGAGGATAACGACTTGCAAACACCACATGACGAGGCATTGACCCAAGAGGGTGGGGTGCAGTCAGTTAACGAAGTGGTCTTTGACCTTAAGGTGTGTACACCTGTGGACGCTGATGCGTCGGATGCTGAGAGAATCATGAGTAGCGATGATGATATCGTGAGTGACGGTGATAGCGAACAGCTATATACACTCGTCAATGGTCTGACTGGGGATGTTGAAGAGCCGGTGGCTCTTTCAGCAATACCCACTGTAAGTGCTCTGTTAGAGCTGGACGAGTTGTCCTTTGCCGAATTTGGCATTGCGTTACAGGCAGGCGACATTGCCGAAGTGGTCGTTATACGACCTGGGAAGGAGTTAAACTCCTCATCGCTTTTGGATAAAGCAGTTCTTGAGGATAGCAAGAAGGCGCTGAATGCGTGTACTGGATCACAGATCCTGAAGGACCCTTCGGATCCTTATATTCCTTTGTTGAAGGAATATGGAGATGTTGTCTCCAGAGAACCTCCGACGAGGTTACCTCCGGATAGAGGTGTACGTTATGAAATTGACTTGGTTTCAGGAACCAAACACTGTGTGACGCGACAGTGGCCGCTGCCACGAGAACAATGTGACGTCACGGACGAGTTCTTTCGTGCGAAGCACGCGGCTGGCATGGTGCGCGAGAGCAAGTCTCCTCACTCTACGCCCACGTTTTGTGTGAGAAAGCCTAATGGGAAGTGGCGAATAGTGCATGCTTATAATAAGCTGAATGCAGCCACTATCCCGTCTCAAACACTGATTCCTCGCAAGGATGTTCTTCGAAACAATATTTTGGGATGTACGATTACAGTGCCCTCGAATTAGTCGATGGGTATTATTAACTGCTCATGCGAGCTAGTCATATCCCGCTGACAGCGGTCAAAACTCCGAGCGGTATGTTCTGGGAGTGGTTAGTGATGCCCCAAGGGCTATATAACGCACCTGCAACGTTTAATCGTCTAGTGACGCAGTTGTTTCGACCCCATAGGGCGTACGTACAGACACACGTTGACGATATATTCGTCCATAGTCGAGACGAAAATGGCAAGACTGATGTGGAGAATCACATCGAGCACCTGCGAGCTGTGCTCGGTTGCATGAGGATGCATAAGGTATATGCCAATAGTGACAAATGCATCTTCGGTGCGGAAGAGAGTCCCTTTTTGGGATGCTTCATTGGGAAGCGAGGAATCCGGGTAGACCCTGTTAAGGTCAAAGCCATAGTGGATTGGCCGGTTCCGAGGAACCAGAAGGACCTACGCAAGTGGCTGGGCTTGGCAAATTACTTGCACAAGTATAGCCACAACTATGTGGAAGTGGCTAGGCCATTGTCCAATCTCCTTAAAAAGGATGTGAAATGATGTTGGAACACCAAGCACCACGAAGTTTTAAAGCAATTAAGGAGAGTCTCCTTCAGGCACCAATTTTGGCTCTACCTGATCCTGATCGCCCATTTAGCGTCGTATGTGATTCTTCGGACTTTGCCATTGGCAGTGCAGTTTTGAAAGCTGACTCTGAGGGTCGAGAACGCGTCATTGCGTTTGAGTCTCGCCAGCTGAAAGCTGCAGAGAAGAACAATCCAGTTCATGACAAGGAGCTACTTGCGATGAAGTATGCCCTTGTTAAGTTCAGGGTACACCTGTTGGGCTCAAAGCCGTTTGTGATCTATACCGATCATGCGTCACTACGCACAGCGACACAGTCGTCTCATCTCTCGCAGAGAATGGTTCGTTGGCTCTTCTTTTTCGCGGAGTCTAAATTCGAGGTGAAGTATAAGCCGGGGAAACAGAATGTTTTGGCTGACGCGTTATCGCGTAGACCTGACTATGAGCTTGCTCAACTCACTGTTGTGAGTTCGTCAGTAACGGATTGTATCCGTGTGGCGTATGCACGGGATGAGGCATGTGTTGCCATTCTGCAGGCGCTGGGTAGCGCAGAGTTTGAAAACTTTAAGGTGAAGTTGTCACCACGTAATCGTGCGAGATTACATCGTTATGCACTGACTGATGGTCTGTTGTACTATAGTTTAGGGTCGGATGACCAGCCTCGGGTTGTGGTGCCTCATGATGAGGACCTCAAGTATCAGATACCTTTATGAGGCTCATGATACGCCACCTGGTGGTCATTTAGGTCGTGAGAAGACTTACAGCTCGGTAAGCACATATTATTGGTGGCCCAAGTTGTACAAATGGGTTGGTACCTACGTACGCACGTATTCAACGTGTCAAAGGGTGAATTCCTCGCCTAATATGGCTGCACCTTTGGCGAGTTTGCTTGTACCCTCGGGGTTGTGGCAGTCCATTATTATGGACTTTGTGTTTAGCCTACGGCGGGATGCGGCAGGCAACACTGCGATTGTGGTCTTGTTGACCGGCAGGGCAAGATGGCTCACTTAGCGGCAGTGCCGGACACTTTTGATGGAGAATGAACAGCAACGCTGTTCATGGATCGTGTGTTTAGACACACGGATTGCCTGTGGCAATCGTCTCGGATAGAAAGAGACCCTCGTTTTACGGGTAAGTTTTGGACGTCCGTCTTTAAAGTGCTGGGTACTCGACTGGACATGTCCACGGCGGATAATCCGCAGACCGATGGTCAGATTGAACGCGTCAATCGCGTTATTGGTGATATGCTTTGCAGTGTTTGTGCTGAAACACCCAAGCAATGGAGCACGATGCTCCCACTCATTGAGTTTGCGTTTAATAAAGCGGCGCATGCTTCGACAGGCTTCACTACATTCTAGGTGAACGGTTTGGTCAACCCTCGCGTTCTGTTAACGCTACCCCCTGCCGCTTCAGGGCTTAGTGGGGGGAGAGATAGCCAAAGGCTTGGCTGATATCAGCCCTGTTGCGCAAAAGTGGAAGCGTTTCTGTCAACGCGTTTTGACGTATTACGTCGCGTCAAAGACGCTATGGCTGAAAGCCAGGATGTTCAGAAGGAACTAGCGGATGCCAAAGGCAGAAAAAACGAACATGAGTTCAAAGTGAGTGATTTAGTTTTATAGCGCTAGGAATTCACCTACCCGTGCCGTTTCGGCGGTATATAAAACTAAACTACGCCTTTAAGGTCATAGACAAGAAAGGTTTAGCCTATACGATGAACCTTCCGAAGACGATGAGAACACATCCTGTGTTCTACGTAGGCTTACTTAATCCATACCTCAACCCTGCCTCGGTGGACTTCGAGGATTTGTCCCCGAATCCCCGGCCGAAGGAGGCGGGTAGTACCGTACCGGAGGTGCATATGGACGCTGAAGGCGTACCAGGAGGTCAATCTGACATCGCAGTTCGGCCTGAGAATGCTCAATTGCCGTTAAGCGATCCGAGGTCTCAGAGCGATAACGCTCAAAAGACCGACGGTGTCGATCGACACGGTCATCGAGCGATGACAGGTGAGACCTCACCGATGCAAGGGCATCACGCTCCAGGAGCGTCAGGCGACGCTCAATCTGAGAGAGATGAGATGTCAATGGATCATCGACCTCCTCAGACGCTGATTGATGAGCATAATCATCAACAGTTCCACGTGGAAAGCCTCTTGGATCGGTGTCGTCACCTGTGTCATACCCAATACTTGGTGAAGTGGAGGGGATACCCCCTGTCGTATGACTCGTGGGAGTATGAGGTACCCCTTCGGCAAGATTGCCCTGACGCCGTTGACGATTTTGACCAGGACGGTCAGAAGCAACGACAGCTATCGTCGGAAGCTTCCCAGCACTAGGTGCTGTGAGAGTAGGATCAGTAGGCTGGCTTTGACTCTGACCTTTAGAAGAAGCCGACGCCGGTACATCACTTGAGTGAGAGGTACGCAACGGCTTTAGAAGCTTGTCCCCCACAAGTCTTTGACCCTGTATGTAGGTAATTGACGTTTCGCTTTGAGCTTAGCGAAGTTAAAACGTAGACGACGTTCCAACCAAACGTCTTGCGCTTTAGCGCTTAATCGCAGTTTGTCAAATTTGAGAGCTTACATGCTCGTTCTACCCAACAGGTGAGCTGGTGATACATCTTGTGCAGATGTATCACCTGGTGCAAGCACCACTGGTATGCCGTTTAGTGGGTGCACATGCACCCCACGTGACTGTCGTGACAGTCGCTCCTGATAAGATTTCATCGTAAACTCCTGGGGAGTAAGGAGCCGCTCACGAAGAGCAACACTATCTGCATTCTCGCAGGCCTTACGGGCATGGGACCCAATGATATAGGGTCGCAAGAATTGCAATGCAGCTCGTCGAGCTTCCTTATTAGGATCCCGGGGCACGAACCCATAATCACGTCGTGAAAATGTTTGTTTGGGCCGTGCCAAAGCGGCCGCTTGGGCCTCGTCATCGAGTTGACGACGCTGTGCAGCGTCAAGAGGATTGCTTACCTCTTCGTCTGTATCCTCTCGCGAGGGAAGAGGAGGCGCTTGGCGCAAAGGGGTTGTCTCCCTTGGAGGAGAAGACAAAGAACGGGATCGACGTTTCTCGTTTGGTGAGCGTGATGATCTTGGGAAACCATGGCCCGAAGGTGACTCGGCTCCGCCGCCCGTAGAGGCAACATCACTGTCATCGTCCCCAAAGATGTCGTGACGCATTGCTTCATCCATGATGGAGCAAGCGCTATCAAGACAAGTGCTTTATAAAGCAAGTGTTTGTGAACACTGTGATGCTTAAAAGCAAGTTCTAGGCACCTTGTGCTATGAAAGCAAGTGTTCGTGAATACACAAAGCGCATTAATAATACCAAGTGCTCGGCACTTAATGCTTATAAGCAAGTGTCGTAACACTATAATGCTTTAGCGTGAGTGCGATGCACTATGTGCTCAAAGACCGAGTGTCGTAACACAAGGATGCTTATAAAGCGTGTGTGCAAGGCACGAGTGCTCAAGGAGCAAGTGTTGAAAACACAGAAGCTTTAGACGCGAATGCAAGCACTTATTGCGAGGCAAGCAAAATGAGAAAAAAAATGAAATCGATGCCTCCAATGAAGTGCGAAAATTCGTGGGTACGTCGGGTCCCACGGATTGGTGGGGGGAGGGTGTAAAGGGGTTAGACGAAGGTAAGTATTGTACATACACACCTGCCACACCAATGTGGTGTGGCTGTACCTTGATTACTAAAGAAGTACGAAGGGTCGCATCGTGGCAGAGATCCACGTGGTCACTAGACTAATTTAAAGTATAGTTACTATGCATGTTTACATAATAATAAAAGTTTTAAGAGCCAGTAAATAGTGACTAGCACTAAGTATAGGATAGGTGCTTCTATATTTAGTGTTAGAAGATAAACATAAATATAAATCAGTTTCAAACCTGATCTATAAGCATCACTGCTTGAGCGTTCATTTCCTTTAGAAGGAATCTATATCTTTGATAGTCTCTATGAGACACAATTACAACAACCGATAGGCACAAGCTTACGAGCTAGCCTAGAAGGGTTTAACAGCCTAAGACGTAAAAGCTCTCTGAGCTTGTCTTTCTCTGCACATAGTGCATACGTAGCTTTGCTACAGTAGTCTGACTACTTCTTCTGCACATAGTGCAAAAGTAGCGTAGCTACAGTAGCTCGGCTACATTCTTTGTGACAAAATTGCCACGGCAAAAGCGAGCAGGTAGTTCAGCATCCATAAGAACTAGTCGCACGTTTCCCATTTTTACGTCTGTCGTGAAGTGCAGCTCTTTCTTCACCAAGTTCATATTTTGCGTAAGCTTGCTTACCAAATTCTCTGTTTCCTCGATGGCTGCACTAAAAATACCGTCACGTTTTTTCTTTGCAATAACTTTCGCTGCGCTCTGGTACTCGCTGATACCTCCACAGCGCGTGGACGGCTGCAGTAGCCACTCATATATAGAACGGTCCGAGCAATTGTCTTCCATCGCAGGCAATACCAACGCATCCCAGATAAGGTTCGCGGCGTCATAGTTCTTGAGCAGCCGAACCAGCTTTTTTTGTAAATCCAGCGGATTTTGATTGATGATTGAACGATTCTTAATGTGAGCTTCACTCTCAAAAAGTTCCCAAAAGCGTCTCTCGAACGCAGGGCGCTTAATCCGCTCTGCGAGTTGTTCAGAAAATGTTATCTTCGTCTCGCATAGCTCGTTAATGACTTCAAACGATATGGTATTCATTTTCGCGCAGATTAAGGAAGCCGCTGAGAGCTTTGCTGCCGTTTCCTGGCCTCGAACCAGAAGCTTCAGCAGCTTTATCTGACAAAAGATCATCGCGCAAAAATGCGCGGAGCTCTTGAAATTCAAGATAGCCATTACCATCCTGGTCAATTTCCTTAAAGAGCTCGCGAACAAAGTACTCCAATTCACTTTCCAGCAATGTGTCGCCAACCTTGACCCTGTTGGAGTAGGCTTCAACTTGCATATATACGTATAGGTAGAAATCAGTATACACTGGAGTGGGACTTGCATGCATACTAGGTACGCTTTGCAAAGTCTTCTCTCAGTCTAAGATATTTCCTCTTAATAACAAGTTAGTATCTGCGTGGGACGCATACCTTGTTATATTAAGTCTAATAGGGTTATGAGCCCAAGTCACGTTGACTAAAGAAAAGATCAACCAAATAACATGTACTCATCGATTGACTTAGATGAGAAAAGCATGGGCTTTAAGATTGGTTCGTTGGGAACTCCCGTCCGGTGGGACCGCGAGGACTGGACTTTTTACAAGTACGCTATGCTGAACGCATTTGAAGAGAGTTTATTGGATGACATCGCCAGGAGCGATGTTGTCGAAGATAAAGACTGGGATGAAGAGGAGAAAGGAAATTTCAAGAAGAAACAGGTCAAGATCAAGATTTGATTCAGGGTTCTGTCCATGAGGCTTGCCAAGCAAATGATGTCCAAATCGACGGACACGGAAATGTGGAAGGAGCTAGTATCGATCTACGAGGGAAAGAACAACCCTGCCATGACGGCACAGAAGGTATACCGCCTGCAGTGCGAGCTACACAAGACCATCTTACGCGAGCGGGACGACGTTCAAAGTCATCTGTACAAGCTATTTGACATCAAGAACAGACTGAAAGAATTGGAATCGCCAGTGAACGATCTACAAATGGTAAACAGGATGTTGCGGAGCTTGCCAACGATCCCGAGTTACAATGAACTCCGACGACGCAAAGTGTTATTTAGCTCCAACATGGGCAAATATACACCGGATCTGGTTCGTGAGTTGATTCTTACAGCAGAGTTACGCAATAAAGATTGGGATAACAACGCCTTTGAAAACAGGCAAAGTAACAAGACGCAACAAAAATCAAGTGGTGCTCAGCAATAACACGGCAAGAAGAAAGCTCCAAGTGGTGGCTATCAAAAGAAAGCCAAAAAGTCTAACTTTGGAAGGTGTTTTCTTTGTGGTGGTACCGATCACTACAAACGCGATTGTCCGGACTTAAATGAAAAACCACGCGAAAGAAGGGCACAAGCCAAGTACGCGCGATCGGAAGAAGAGTGTACACATCTAAAACCGAAAATTTGTCAAGTTGCTCAGGTGAATGACACTATGGAGAAGCGTAATGTGGAAGTCGGAGAAGTTGTGAAACAAGTCTCCAAGAATTTTGACTCATCACGCTGGTATTTTGATACTGGTACTAATGCACACATCACGGCCTGCAAGACGTATTTTACTACGTTGCAAAGCATGGATAATTGCGATTGGAACCCCCCACATTTTGGGTTTTGCTAATGGGATTGGGGCAAAGGCGGAAGGTTCGGAACAATCATTCTAGCGGTGATGGTTGATGAGCAGATGACATTTGTGCTTGTGGAGGATGATGTGTTGTACGTGCCAAGCCCGGGTTGCAACTTGTTCTCGCCAGGTCTGGCTTTGAATCAAGGATTCCAATTATCCTGGAAGCCCAACAAAAGAATGTTCTAGATGACAAAAGGTAATATGGAGGTCATTCGCACGACGCATGAACGTCACCTATGGACATTTACTGCTCACAATATTGGGTGCAGTATCTCGAAGAACACCAAGATTACTACTAAAAAGCAAATTTGTGCAAATTTCGCAATTACAGACGGTGTCGAGGACATCAAAGAGTGCAAATTTGTGCAAATTTCGCAATTACAGACGGTGTCGAGGACATCAAAGAGTGGCATGAGCGACTAGGGCATACCTGTCCAGAGTACATTCGACTAATGGCTGACCGCGGTATGGCCAAGGGGATTATTAGACTTAATATAACAAGGTATGCGTCCCACGCAGATACTAACTTGTTATTAAGAGGAAATATCTTAGACTGAGAGAAGACTTTGCAAAGCGTACCTAGTATGCATGCAAGTCCCACTCCAGTGTATACTGATTTCTACCTATACGTATCTATGCAAGTTGAAGCCTACTCCAACAAGGATCATGCTCAAGCGTCGAGGAAAGGTGAACTGAGCTGATTGCCAATTTGGTAAACAGCGGCGCAAGACATTCAAGAAGTCGCTCGGTCGGCCCATTGAAAAAGTAAACGACATGGCGTTTGCAGATCTTTCAATACCAGGGGTAAGCAATGACTCAAAATTTTCTGCCGTTTTGGTTATTATGGACGGATTTTCGCGCTTTGTTAAGTTTTACCTACTTTAGTCGAAGACGGAAGGCGAGGTGAACATGTGTATGATGCAATATATTGCATGGGAAGAGCGTCAACGTGGAAGTCAAATTAATGAGGTTATTTCTCGCGACTACGATACAGAGGACCACAATGAAGGCGCTGAGCCAGTGGAGCAGGTGCTTACGGACAAGGGTCAAGAATTTTGTAATGGTATTATGGAAAATGGGTACATGCAAAAAATGGAATTGTGCATACAAAGGTTGGACCTAGTGCATACCAATTAAATCTTGTGGAGCGAACGCATCAGACGCTGATTGGTATGGTTAAGACGATGATGCATCAGTCGGGTTTACCTAAATCGTTCTGGTCAAATGCTTTCGAAACTGCAGTTTACGTGAAGAACCGTGTGTATTGCAAGGGTGCAGGCCGCACTCCATATGAAATTATGTTTCGGACCAAACCAGACTTACATCACATTCGTGCTTTTGGATCCCTGGCGTTTTGTCACGTGCCAAAGTCCAAGTGGAAAAAGTTTTTGGTGAACTGTCGCATGGGATTTCTGATCGGTTATCGTGAAGATGTTGTCGGCTGTCACATTTATTTTCCAACGGAACATAAGACAGGTTTCGTGTCCGACGTTAAAATAAATGAAGACATCAAATACAGTTATCGCTATGACAGTGGATACAAACGAAAAGCAAACACGTGATCGCAAACTTTTCCCGATTTATTCAAGGAGATGACATTGATGACTTTACCGGGGAAGATGATGACGAAGGTCTCGATATTTCCTCTCACGTGGAATTTCCTACTGGATCAAGCAACTTAAGCAGCAATGTTGACATGGAATCGGTGGCGTCGGAGCTTCCAGACTCTCCAGATATGTGGCGTGGGCGACTACGCAGTCGGGTGCCACCGGCCGAGCCTGTCGACACGGTGCAGAAAAGTGCTACGTCAAGTGAGGCAAGTGAAAATGGAATATAATGGGATGATATCCTTTGGAACAGCTCCCTTCCTGTTATAGATAATGCGTTTGAAGAAACGCAGGAGGGTGAAAATGCAGGAACCAGCTCTCAACCTGTTGCAAAATCAAGTTCAAGTGAACAGGGCGATGAATGTATAACTGGTGATCTTTCGGTTAATGACGATTCACGTGACGATGCTTTAAGTATTGATTTACATGACACAATGCTCGATGATGAATCTACTGACGATGAAATTGCCGCTGATAATGATTTTGCTGAATCGGTGGGGCATGTTACAGAAATGTCCGCGGTCATACGTACTGAATCATCGCTTAGCGAATTGGAAGATTACGATCATTTATTTGATCCAGGTGATCAGCTCGAAATTGAAAGCGATGAAGATGTTGGTGCATTGGTTTCCGCGACGCAGAATGTATTAACGATTATGCCGAAGCACATCATTGGTCACACACATCTGCGCGACACCGAGATTAAAAGAAGACGTGACAGAAAACGCACCAAGGTAGAGACAAAGAGAGCACGAGCAAATTTGGGGCTCCATGAGTTTAACTACTTTGATGATTTTGTGGTCGGATCATCTTTTCAAGCACTACATGCCGACATACGAGGCAATGGTGGCATTAATGCAAGGAGTGTAAAAATTCCAATGAATTACAGGGTAGCCATGGCGTCAAAATACGCAAAACAGTGGAAAGAGGCAATGGATGTTGAAATGGCCGCGCTTATGGACAAAGGCGTACTGGAAATGATTTTTAAATGTGAAATGCCAATAGGAAGTAAAGCAATCAAGACTATGTGGGTCTTTGATCTCAAAACGGACCATTTGGATAATGTCGTCAGATTTCGAGCGCGGATTGTTGCGCGAGGCGACAAACAACGTCCTGGAATTGATTACATGGAGACATTTAGTCCAGTGGCTCGAATGGCTACGTTCCGATTATTTGTTGCAGTGTGTGTACAATTGAAGCTTCCAATTTATCAAGGTGATATTAATACCGCGTATCTAAATGCAACGTAGGTATTAAACAATACCTGGCAACGTTGGAATGCTATCCGTGCGAGATGGATAACACGATTTACGTCATTAACAAAGCTCTTTATGGATTAAATAATCCGGTCGCGAATGGAATTCAGATAAATGCTGGTTTATTAACATCGGTTTCGAGCCTATCGCACCGAACCGTGCCTATATTACTATAGGCGGGATGGCAAATTTGCGATTGTTCGATTATACGTGGATGACATTCTGTGTGCTACAAAAAATGTTGATTTTAAGACGAACATGTTTCAACAATTAGATAAGGACTATGGACTTAAAGATTAGGGTTTTCTCAACACTTATTTAGGCGTGGAAGTGGAGCAGAATGAAAGTTCTATTAAGATTCACCAGACTAAATACTGTGGAGAAATTATTGAGCGACTTAATTTTGGCGACGCACACCCTAGCAAAATTCCAATGGAAAACGACTTTACGATTGACTGCAATTGACATGGATACTGCACAGCGCAAGCAAAATCCAGCGCATGGAAAAGTATTTCCGTTCCGTGAGCTAAATGGATCGTTAATGTACCTCTACGTGCACCAGACCCGATTTAGCTTATGTTGTTGGACAGCTTAGCAGATACGTACAACAACCAGCCCAACAGCACACCAGTGCAGCCAAGAGAGTGTTAGGATACGTTATTGGCAGTAAAAGCCTGGGAATAGTATCCACAAATACTCCAGAGGTTCAGTATACAGGCAAGCTGACGGTTAATGGATTTTGCGACTCGGACTGGGGTAATGACCCTGATACCAGAAAAAGTGTTACTGGTTATGTGCATTGTATTGCGGGAGGTACCATATCGTGGGCATCACGACGTCAAAGTATTGTGGCACAATCAACTGCGGAAGCAGAGTATGTTGCAGCAAGTGAAGCATGCATGGAAGGACAAGGTTTACGCAACTTATTGATTGAAGAATTTTCGCATATAGACACAGAGTATCGACTCGGCATTGATAATCAAGCAGCGTTTGTCATGTCGACCAACCCAACCTATAGATGCCGTACTCGACACATTGAACTGCGTTGGCACTATGTTCGGGATCAGGTGGCAGAATGGACGGTGGAACTGTGAAAAGTCAAGACCAAAATTAATCCGTCAGATTTGATGACGAAACCACTTGCCAGTGGTCGTTTGGAGAAGTTAAGTGGCATGATCGGCATGACAAAGAACCATGTTCCGAAGGGACTGCTTTCGGAGGAGGGCGTGTTGGAGTAGGCTTCAACTTGCATAGATACGTATAGGTAGGAGGAATCAGTATGGGACTTGCATGCATACTAGGTACGCTTTGCAAAGTCTTCTCTCAGTCTAAGATATCTCCTCTTATAGCAAGTGGGACGCATACCTTGTTATATAAAGTCTAATCGACCATTGCATTAGCAGCGAAAGCTACGAAAGTGGCAATCACTGTCGGTTGAGCAGCCGTCCAAATGCTACCTTAAATGGATCATCTTCTTTTCCTTGACCACGAGTTAATGGAAATTCAAATTTTCCATGTACTGGATAATGGTCGGAGAGATCAATTAATGCCATTTTCATAATCCTCTTTACACCAGTCCAACCAACTGTAAAACGAGGGACCTGATTTACAAAAGCTTGGAGTGTTGGTACTGTGCTTGGTTGCTGGTAAGGAGCTACAACACAAGCGATTTCATCAGTGGTAAGACAGACACGCCACCATTGTTGCAACTAGTGTGGGGTGCTTGCTACCTTTTCCATACAGAACGTAGTCAAGCCACTCCAGTGGACAGCAGGGGCAATAGCACATGTTGTCCAAATCAGGCTCAGTAATCTCAGTGTGGACACCGCATGTCGTTCGGGTGAGCAACGATGGGTAGAAAACGCTATCCTATTTGCACGCACCACCACACAAATTTCAGAGGAAGCACATGGAGGCATTAAGTAATAGCATAACAAACCGTTGCTGGCCCCCAGTTTTGGACGTATTGTGCAAAGCATTTGTTGCTGATGGCAGCTCCGTCACGTCCAACCAGCACGTTCGTGTGCGGACTGAAGCAAATTCATTGCACGTTCGAGAATGAGTTCGAGTCGATCCACCATCACACAATTGCACGTGACATACTCGCTCGTGAAAACCTGTTTGCCAATCTGACGAGGTTCATTCGCTTGAAGCAGCTCTACTAAATGTGCCACTTCATTTCCAAAAGTGTGATTGTCTACATTGAAGTCCCCTGCAAAGATCAATGGCTAGATGCAGACAAAAGCAAACAACCTCGCGTCGTGATCAGCACAAGCGGCGTATGATAAGAGTTCATCACTTCCCACCTCGTGATATGGAATGCCAATAGCATCGATAAACTGCCGCATCTGTCCAGCGTATAGACAGATAAGAAAAATAAATTCTAGAAGCTAACAAGCATTGATATTCCATGACCTCCTTACCTGCTTTGCTTGCTGAATCCGATCCGCCCGTCTTTCTGGCGTAGACCACGCCTAAATTGTCATCACATGCATGGACTCAACAACTCTCTTTCTCTGCTCAAACCAAAAGCTTAACAACTTTGAGTACCTGCATGTGGGTAGCAAACACGTTAAAAATCTTGTGCGTATCATTGACAGTTTTTAGCAACCGAGCATATTTGACACCCTTAGCTGCTAAACAGTCCGAGTAATGACAAGCATTGTGATACACATGCTGAGCTTCACGAATGATCGGCCACTTGGACACCACCATTACTCCTCCGTTTAGTAAGCTAGTGAATGGATCCGGGTCATGAAGAATCGTCGTGGAATAATTGAAACCAAACTTTTGAAATTGAGCGAGCATTTCGTTTCGCTCAGTTTTGATATCGGCTTCTGCCAAAGTCACAACATCGATGGTTGGAGAAATCTGATGCAATGACTCGGGAACTCGTTGCAATCGTTCACTCTGTCCATCCTTAGAGACTTCGTACGGACGTCCAAATAAATTGTACTATCAAAATCAACATGTTACGAGTGATTTAGGTGGGAGAAGATTACAACGTACATGTATCAATATATATGATGATACCTGAAGAACTTCAAAGGAAATGGTAGAATCAGGAGCAGACTTTACATGATAAGGAGTTACTCTACTACTCCACACAGGAACATTGCCAATCATTTCATCGACGTGGAAGTGGCCCTGAACGGCGTAAAGTAACAAGGGAGGAACCAGCGTAAGAAGAGCGAGCGGCATCCGGAATAAACGAGTCGTTCGTGATTTGTTTGAATCGTTTTTCTAGCTATTCGGAATAAACGAGTCGTTCGTGAATTGTTTGTGATCGTGTTTTCTAGCTTTTCTATCATTTTAAGCATTGGTTTATTTCCACTTAGGTACGATAGCACCAATTTTCTCTAATTTTCTCTCATTCAAGAGTTTGCCGGCTCAATGGTAATGGTAAAGCTTTTTTGTGCGATTGTTGGTGTAGAGGGGAGCGTGTTCTCTGTAGATATCGATGCAACTCAGTCTGTGGCCGACTTGAAAGACGCAATCAGACTGGAGAAACCGAACGACTTAAAGGATGTCGATGCAGATAGGCTGCAGCTCTTTCTGGCCAAGAAAGACGCGGGCGTTTGGTTATCGTCTCGCTCGGAAGACGTGACGAAGCTGAAGAGGGGTCAAAACACTGCTCTCGTCGAGTTGCTGACGGGACAAGATCAAGAACTACAGGGAGAGGACCCACTTCAGGACTTGCTAAACGGATGTGATCCTCTATTATATCGACAAGTTCACGTGCTGGTGATAGTTCCGCAGCCCAAAATGAACTGGAAGTGTGCTTTACAGAGGCCTTTCCCGTATGATCCCAAGGACAAATATGTATCGCTTTGAGAAGGCGGATGTATGGGATTTTGGAGCTTCTCGTAGCCAGCTAAAGCTGTACTGCAGGCCCTCCTTTCATCGGCAAATCGATTTCATGCGTGAGAAAGTCTTGGAAGAAAAACATGTTGGCTATGTACTCGGTCCTCCTGGAACGGGAAAGTCAACCGCCGCTATGGTTTTTGCGTTAGCTGTTGACAGGACCAGATGGGATGTTATCTGGATTCACGTCGAAGGTAAAATTTTAAAGTGTGTGCATATGAGTGGTCAAGAGCGAAAGACTGGAACCATTGATATTGCGAAGTTAACGGCATTGCTGGAATCCATCAATGCCCAGAATTGTTTGGTGCTTGTTGATGGCTGGACTTATACGGAAAGTAGAGGAGATCTGGAAGGCACGTGCTTCCTATGGTATACCAGTGCAAATGTTTCTGGAGAGAAACGACTTGTGTTTATATGCTCTGTGGCCTCTCGTGGAAAATCTAGTGCAGATTTTGAGTATGATTGGAAGATATTGGAGCATGAAGTTTGGTCCTGGACATTGGATGAATACCTTGACGCAATTAACGACAAAGAGTTTTTCAACAACGTGTTGCCAAAACTTGACGCGACAAGTAACAATACATCGTCGACTAATGCGATGCAACAAGCAATGAAGAAAAGGCGAAAAAGCCAGTCTGACGACCCTTTCGATAATCGCGCCTTTTTGTTGGAGACTAAGTATCACTATGCAGGCGGGTCATGTCGATGTATGTTTCTGTATACGACGGCAGAGGTGATTCGCCAGCTGAATCGTGCTATTGAAATGCTACCCGATTATAGTACTGCGACTCTTTCAAGTGGTAGCCGATCGCCTCTTATCGTCAACCGCCTGTTTGCGTTGTTCGAAAGTCATACTTCCACGGGGGTAATAGCCCCGCTGATTAGTCGCTATACTGCAATTCAAATTGGAATCAAAACCGGTCCGGATGAGATCAAACATTTTTTTTTCAAGTATCGAGAGTTTGCAAACCCGGCATTTAGTGGATGGATGTTGGAGATGGCTTTTTTTATATCTTTACGACATGGCGGTCTCGAAATATTCGATGAAAGTAATAACATTGTTGATAAGTGGGAACAAGCTACTGTTGTGGATTCAGATGGAGTACCTGAACTCAAGAAGGATGGCCCTGTTTGGATTAGACCCCTTCAATGGAACCAAGGTGGATACGATGCTATTATGGTGTGTAAGCAAACTAGATTCGTGAGGATGGTACAAATAACTCGTGCAAGCACGCACACATTTCGTATCGATTACTTCTATTCGTGGCTGAAGAAGCTTTCGGAAACGAACGATAGTTTTAACGTTGACAGACTGGAGATTGTCTTTGTTGTCGCTAAAGACAGCCTACAGAATTTTACAATATCGAATGCTACTCGGTCAAGGACTCCTGGAAGCGTTTGGTTGGGAGAAAAACACGGAGATTAGTCGAGTACGGATAGTTGGGATGCGAGGGTTAATAAGTGACTTCAAATTGTAATGTTGTCTACTTGGATGTGCTGGTTGTATCTCTTTTGAAGGTGTTGCGTTGCAAGTCCAATATCTTCAGCAAATTGCAGCAATCCCTTGTGACTCAGATGAGAAAGATCAGACAGCGACAACACACTTCAATATCGAGAAGAATGTTTTGAGAGTAGAATAACAGACTTAGTAGAGGTAGCAAGTAGTTTGCGAACTAAAGACCTGAGTATTCGTCCATTTTATTTACTCTTTCACTCCGCTTTGTGAGTTCGATCTCGTGAGGCGTCGTGAAAATTAATTCGTTCGTCACAAGTTGTGAGACTCTAAAACGCTCGTACGCGTAGATCCGTTTGATGTATAGTGTGGTTTGAACACTCATTTAAATGCGTTAAAAATCTCATCGACACAATGTTAATATGTTGAAAGGCAGGCAAAACATGAAGTGCTTCGCTTACTCGAACACGCATGAAACGCGGATAGTGCCGGCCTTGACTGCATCTGGTGGTAGATGTGCCATATCTTCGGCTGATTCGATAGATTGGAGCGACATCGAGAGTGATGATGTGGCATCAAGATAAGTCATGTGGATTACATGACTTTTCTATCTCTTGAACCTCATCAAGATAAACAACTTGTGCTGATGCCCTGATACTGTTATCAATCCAGCACGAAGAGTATGCATTGTTGAAGGTTCTTGTCAGTAGTAAGCATTGTTGGAGGTTCTTGTCAGGTGGAGGTTATTGTCTCACATAGAAATTACCATTTCTAAACCACGGGCGTATTTCTCCGTCGCTCTCTTTCGAAATACACAGACATACGTTTCGTAGCAACAATTATAAAATATCCTCTACAAGAACAACCGTTCGTTCCAGCTCATCGAAATAAAAGCCATCGCTCATCCTTAGCTTTTGTCCATTATGTCAACGTGTCCTCAGTGCTATACGGGGACATGCAAGCGTCACAAGCTTCAGGATAATGGACGATCCGTAATCAAGAGTACAAATGCTGAATCAACATTACAGAAGATGTATGATCAGCTTGTAGGTTCTAAGCTACAAAGATTACAGGCTGAGGCTGAGAACAGTCGTGTCAACAACATACACACGAGTTTCGTAAGAAACTGGACGCGTCACGGGATAAAATAATGCGTAAGAGCCATCGATCGCAGTCTAAATTGGGCAATGTAAGTGTCAGTGGTAGTGGTTTGAATCCTCAAGCATTAGCTGCGATTTATGGAGAAGATTCAAGTGTATCAGATGAAGAAGAAGACGAGAAGAAGAAGAAGAGACGTTGTAAACATTTTTCAACTTTTGAGAAGAAACGAAGGAGAATTGATAGAGAAGGTGGGAGTTTTAGTGATGATAATGATGACGAGGCACAGAATCGACAAAAGAGCTCGTCGTCGTTGAAGAAGCACAGTCGTCACAGTCACTATAAGAAGAGTCACAAGATGAAGAAACACAAAAGCAGAAGAGCTGATGGACGCGACTAAGGGTGGTGGAATATTGAGCGCAATGCGAATGACATCATAGAGTGAAGCATTGCATTTAAGGCCTCAAGTCTACACCAGTCATTCTGAACCACGACGGCATCATTCGACTCAGTTCCAAATTTGATCGCCCCATCCATCTATCTATCATCCATCACACGCTATTTTGTGAGGCTTCTGTATGCATTCATTGCATGATTTGCACATCCAACAGCCCGTTTGTACTCTGAACGTGTGGGAGTGGGTATAGTATGAAGAATAAAGTAAGCATGGCGGTACAAAGGGGGGGGGGCTGCAGGAAGTGCATTTGTGCTGTCCCGAAGCCGTCTGCACTGCTGTGTCTCTTGTTCCGGCGCTGTGCGGTCAAGGAGTGATGTGGTGGTCGCACATGTTTGTCTTGTTCATCAATTAAGCTCGTCCAGTTTGCTGCAAGATACACTCTGTTGTTTTCTTTGTTCGTAGAAAAGTCCAATTTTTTTCGCTTGCTAGACTGAATGCCATTCTACTCACCATCGCGTTCATCTCTTCCAAGGAGTCAGTGAGTGCAATGGTCTTTAGAGTGGTGACATATTATTTGCGAATATCAAAGTCTATAGATGTATAATCCAAATCATAGAAACACACCCGTAGGTAGATACAGTTGGAGGCCGAAGTGAGGAAAATACTGTTGTGGAGATATTCAATGATATTCACATTGACTACAATTCTCTGATCGATCCAATTCAATCATTTGTATGATGTCGAGACGTTTACATGTCTTCGTATAGATTCATCAAAAGTAACCTTTGCATGATACGTGCTTTCTTATGCTGCTGAAAAGCTCAAACTGCCGTCAGAGTCATCACATTTAGCTCATAGTCTAGCAGCGAATCTTCGTCTGCTGCAAAGCGGAAGTTTCCTTGCACGCTCTTGCCACTCAGTACATGTGGTAGCCAAAAGCGATCGTCTGCCCACATGGTGTTGAACGGAATCCGAGAGACGTCGTACCACTGCGGCTTCATCTCGTCGCTCTCCGATGGCTGACCCGAAAATTTCTCGGTCACGTAAACATGCACCTCCTACAACAGCAATACTATTGAGCTTTTCTCCTACCCCCCGACCCCAAGCTTTTCTCCTACCCCCGAGCTTTTCTCCTAACCCAATAACAACATCTCTATCCCACTGCGTACCATCACTTCATTGCTTTGTTCAAATGTAAACAGCAATACACCACGTGACTCGAGGTCCTCAACACTCACTTGCACATTGGCCTCTTCTTGTATTTCCCTTACTGCTGCTGACGCGATACTAGTGTCCGTACGTTCTACTTTACCTCCAAACCCATTCCATTTCCCTATACCAAACCCTCGTTTCTTTAACCCTAATAGAACATGTCTCTCTTCATGAGGCACAACGCCATTTCGCACAAGGAACGCCAGTGTCAATAGCTTGCGATGTCGTGGTGGCATGCTTATCATGTCAAACTTGATTGAAAAATCAGGTCCCTCTCGAAATGCATATGTTGTTTCACAGGAGATAAAGTATCGCATACAATTTCCAGGTCAAAAAATACTTCAACGGGATCTTTCCCTCATTTCACGAAAAGCAAGCTCCAAAACAGATCCAAGAGTGTTGGTCTTTGTGAAACTTTCGAGTTGGTTGAAGTTGCCTTTCAATCACTTCAACCGCGCATTCATCATGTCTGGGATGCTAGTGATGGCGTTACTCTCCGTGAGTGTGTCGCTGTCGCTATGTGTTGTGCCCGGCCTAGCACGGATCACGGTGCTTTCGAGGCTCGTGCATAAGTTTACGGCCGTTTATTTGACTGACAGCATTCAGATTGAGTATTATCTTGGCTCGTTTGACGTGCGTGGACGACGTGGCACCGGGACGGTCACGGAGCAACTGCGTGGCGTGACCACTCACTGTTTTATGTGACGCTACAAAGCGAGTTTCTCAAGACGTTGGCATTTACGAAGCAAGGGCTAGCACTTTGACATCCAGCACGTAACCATTAAGAAAATGGTAATCCATTTAGCTACGACGTGGAAAGTTGTGGTCAAATTAGAAGGTGTGGCTGTGGATGGTCAGATGGTGGATCCCAATGCGGAAGGCGTGTTTGAGCTGCAAGATGCCGTGGCTATGAAGCTGAGCGAGGCGAACAACTGGGTCACTCAACTCATTGCAGAGCGCACCAAGACAGAGCTGAGAGAGAAACAAGAGGAGCAGGTGACAACATCGAAAGCTTTTGCCTTCAAAGATTGCGTGTTGCAGCAGATTGCGGCGCAAGTAGACGTCCATGTGAGCAATGTAAGAATTGGTGTCACAGGTCTGATGCCCGGAGATTCTGCTGTGGACGACCGTGATTGTGAGACTGAGGATAAGGACAGTGAGGATGCAGACGTGGCCACGACCAGCTCAATTCCCGTGTCTTTGAAGCCGACACGCGCGATTTTTGTCATGAAATTGTTTGACTTACTATCCTACGTCCTACATGATTAATGCAGAGGAAGCTTTGCAGCTTAGTCTTGACGTCGGAGGAGATTTCGATGGAGCACTTGATTAACTTCAAGGGTGTAAACGTCTGTGCTGCTACTGTGGATGATGAAACGAACGATGACATGACCGGGGTGGAAAAGAGAAAAGATTTATTGAAAGATAACGAAGGAATCGGTCTTGGTGAAATACCACTGTTGTCTTTGGCAAATCTCGACCTAAAGCTCCAGGTACCGCCCATGCCACGGTTGTTGGGCATTGTGGAGAACATTGCTCCTATTCCGGTAACGAACCGTGTGGCGCGGGTGGAGCTTGTATCGTCGTCGATCACTAACCTTACAGTCACGCGGGAGCTGATTGTGGGAGTGCTGCGCGATCTAGTTGTGCCATACATGGATTACCAGGTTCTGGTGCAGTCGATGCGTGCGTTAGAACATGATGAGACTGTTTGAACCCCGCTGTTGAAGGAGGATGAAGCTTTCTACATGGATAATTACGACCAAGTGGATAGCAACAAGTTGTTGTCAGCTCAGGATAAAAAGGATCGCAATGACAAGCTACGCGAACTTGAAGCAGTCATGTCGCTGGACAAAATTCTCAAGCTGCGTAGTCGATCCACTGGATTGGCCAAGTACTACCGTCGTGATCAAGAGGAGCTCTCTCTTTCCGAGTACATTGCAATCGTGAAGGAGAATGCTGCCAAGACAAGCAACAACATGTTTAAAGCAATGCAGATTACATTACGCTGGGATAACATGAGTGTTGCGTTCGTTGAACGAGGCCGTCAAGTTTCTGAGATGGTCGTGATCGGCTTTGGCGTCAATATGCGCTCGTTCACCATTGCAGAAGGCGATGAGAAGCAGAAGCTAGACGTAGAGGTTGCATTGGGCCAAGCAACATTCGTCGTTAACGTCGAGTTTTCGGCTTCGAATTATGTTTCTCCAACGGCAAAGCTAATGTTTGCGGACTTCAGCAAGGTAGCTGCAGAGTCTGGCGCAATGTCGCCGCCACAGATGCTCACGGCCCATGTGAGTCAGCTTGAAAGTGGTAAGCAGAATGTGTGTGGTACAGTGAACAACATGAAGTTGGTACTCTCAGTCGGTGCGCTGGAGCGTTTCCTGCTGTTTGTTGATCGGCTGAGCACAAAGACAACTCAAGTACTGTCGACAGCGCGGCCGCCTTTCGTACCAGTTTCTCACTCTGAGTTATCGCCTGCCGCAGTCCAGGTTGCTAAAAGCGAGGTAGACATGGTGAGAAAAGAGATAACAATGTCTCCGTTTAGCTTGCTTGGCGGCATGCTGTTGAGCCTGGATGTCAACTTGAACGATTGTCACATCGTTCTGCTACCCACTCAGTCGTACTCAAAATCACTTTTTATGGATATTAACGCGGAGACATGGCAAAGCGATTACGTGGTAGATTGCCGCGTGGATATGCCTGCCTCATTGAGCATGCATCTCGAAAGTTCAAAAGTGAAGGAATTGCTGGAGCTTAACGTTCACAGCTTCAATATCGGCGCCCAGTACGTCAATGATGCTAAGGAAGCGGAAACCATTTTAGCTCCAACAAGTATCGTATTTCAGTTTACCCTAGAACAAGACGTCACGGACCCTCTGATTTGTCACCAGAGTGTAATGCTGCACATGCCAGATGTCTTGGTTGCTGGGTCAGACCTCAGTTTGTCGTTATTGGCGTCCTGTGGAGAGGCCATCAGTAACGTGCAGACAACAACGCCCAAGCAAGCCCAGCTTCGGCTCAAAAAGTCGTGTAAAGCAGGAAGAAATTCGACGCCAGGCGGAAGTCGACACAGTCCTCGATCGCTTGCACCGACTTTTTGACGAAATTGATGAAAACGGGAACGGCTGTATTGAGCTGGCATAGCTTCTTCTCTTACTGCGCCGGGTCAAGGTTGGCGACACATTGCTGAAAAGTGAATTGGAGTACTTTGTTCGCGAGCTCTTTAAGGAAATTGACCAGGATGGTAAAAGGCTAACTTGAATTTCAAGAGGTCCGCGCAATGATATTTTGTCAGACGAAACTTGTAGCCGAGCTACTGTAGCTACGCTACTTATGCAGTATGTGCAGATGCACTGTGTGCAGATGGGAACTATGTGCAGAGAGTAGTCAAACTACTGTAGCAAAGCTACGTATGCACTATGTGCAGAGGAAGACAAGCTCAGAGAACTTCTACGGCTGTTGTAACCGCGTCTAGTATCAAAGATACTTAATTCCTTAGAAGGAAATGAACGCTCAAGCAGTGATACTTATAGATCAGGTTTGAAACTGATTTATATTTATCTTTTAACACTAAATATAGAAGCACCAACTCTATACTTAGTGCTAGTCACTATTTAATGGCTCTATAGCCTGTTATTATTATGCAAACATACATAGTCACTATGCTTTAAATAAGTATAGTGACCACGTGGCTCTCTGCCACGATGTGACCCTTCGTACTTCAGGTACTGTCACATCAAGCCTTCTTTTGTGACGAAGGTACAGCCACACCAATGTGGTGTGGCTGGTGTGTATATAAAATACACACCTTCGTGTAACCCCGTTACACCCTCCTCCACCTATCCGTGGGACCTGACGTACCCACGAATTTCGCACTTAATTGGAGGCATCGATTTTATTTTCTTCTCATTTTGCTTGCCTCATGTCAAGTCAAGATGTAACGTCTGACTTGATAGTAATTATAAAGTGATTTCTACTTGCTTGCACTTGCGAACAAAGCGTCAAGTGTTTTGACACTTACTCCTTGAGCACCCGTGCTTTGCACACACGCTTTCTAAGCATCCTAGTGTTACGACACTTGCTTCTTGAGCATACAGTACATTGCGCTCACGCTAAAGCATTATAGTGTTACGACACTTGCTTATAAGCGTTAAGTGCCTAGCACTTGGTATTATTAATACCCTTTGTGTGTTCACGAACACTTGCTTTTACAGCATTATGTGCCTAGCACTTGCTTTGAAGCATTTCAGTGTTTTAAACACTTGCTTATACGCGATTGAGCATATAAGTGTGTAACACTTGCTCACAAAGCACCGTAATGTTAACACTAGCTCATAATGCACATTAGTGTCGAACATTAGCTTATAATGCACATTAATGTCGAACACTAGCTACAATGCATATTAGTGTCTACACTAGCTTATAAAGCACCATAGTGTTCAACACTGGCTTATAAAGCACATTTTTGCTTCATTGTAGCGTATAAGCACCATAGCATCTAGCAGTAGCTTATAAAGCACCATAGTGTATAACACTAGCTTATCAAGCACCTAAGTGTACAACACTTTCTTATAAAGCACATTTTTGCTAAACACTTGCTTTTAAAACACCTTCATGTTCACCACTCGCTTAAAAAGTACCTAAATGTTTAACACGTGCTTGCAACGCACCTTAGTGTTGAACACTTGCTTTTTTAAAGCCTTAAAAAGCTTAAAACACTTGCTTATGTAATCCCAAAGTGTTGTACACTTCTGTTAAAGCTCCATAGTGCTTCACACTTGCTTATATAAAGCCCCAAAGTGTTGAACTTTGCTTATAAAGCATAAATAAACCGTTTTAGAATAAGTGTTTCCATTATTTTAGGCACCGTAGTGCCAGAATTCATGGACATATGCTATTCACTTGCCTTTAAGCCCCCAAGTCATTTACCACTTTGCGATTATATAGGCAAAGCCCCAAACTGCCGTAAACTTTGCTTTTGAAGCAGATAATAGTACTTTTCAAGCGAGTGAGGTACCAGCAACTGCTTCCCAAGAAGGTCAGAGGTGAAGCCTAACTACTGACCTTGCTTCCACAGCACTTAGTGCTAGGAAGCATCCGGCGACTGCTGTCGCCGCTTTTGATCTTCCCGATCAAAAGCTTCAACGACGCCCGGGCAGTCTTGCCGTAGGGGTACCTCGTACTCCCATGAGTCATACGACTGAGGGTACCCCATCCGCTTTACCAGATACTGGGTGTGGCCCTGATAAAGACGTCGGAGCCAATAGACGCTCCTGTAAATGTCCAACAATATAATATGCATCATGTATACGTGAAACTGTTGATGACCCAGCTCATCAGTCAGCGTTGGCGGGGGTGGGTGACCCATCGATCCATGATCTTTTGGTACGCCTTCAGCGTCCATATGCACCTCCGGTGCCGTAATACCCGCCTCCTTTGGCCGGGGATATGAGGGACAACCCCTCGAAGTCCACCGAGGCCGGGTTGCGATATGGCTTTAGTAAGCCCACATAGAACACAGGATGTGTTCGCATCTTCTTCGGAAGGTTCAGCGTATAGGCCAAACCTTTCTTGCTTCTGACCTTAAGAGTTCCAATAAAGCGTGGACGCAGTTTGGTTTTATATACCGCAGACACTGCAAGTGTCGGTAAATTCCTAGCGTTTAATAAAACAAAATCCCCCACTTTGAGCTCATGTTCGTTTTTCCTGCCTTTGGCATCCGCATGTTCCTTCTGAACATCCTGGATTTCAGCCATAGCGTCTTTGACGCGACGTAATACGTCAAAACGCGTTGACAGAAACGCTTCCACCTTTTTGCGCATCGCAACAGGGCTGATATCAGCCAAGCCTTCGGCTATCTCTCCCCCACTAAGCCCTGATGTGGCAGGGGGTAGCGTTAAAGGAACGCGAGGATTAATCAAACCATTCACATAGGCTAGCTCGTAAGCTTGTGCCTATCGGTATTAACACCTGAGTCTCAGAGAGACTAGTATTAAAGATACAATTTCGATACGGAATAGAACGCTCTAGCAACTAGCGCTATACAGAGCAGGTTTGAAACTGATTTCATATTTATGTTTATCTTCTAACACTAATAATGGAAACACCTATCCTATACTTAGTGCTAGTCACTATTTACTGGCTCTATAGCCTGTTATTAGTATGCAAACATGCATAGTCACTATACTTGAATAAGTATAGTGACCACGTGGCTCTCTGCCACGATGTGACCCTTCGTACTTCAGGTACGGGCACATCACCTACTTTGTACCCAAGGTACAGCCACACCACATTGGTGTGGCAGGTGTGTACGTAAAATACACACCTTCGTGTAACCTCGTTACACTAACGCTCATCATTTCTACGACTATTCACTTTGTCGTATCGCCATTTACCCAATTTCTACACTTTTCTATTCTTTTGGCTGCACTTGGATCAAGTAACTTGCATAAGTAACCCACTTACAGCAGTGTGTAGTGTGACCGTTGAATGACACGCAGTTCGTATGCTATAACATGCGCTGGCGGACGCTTTTGAGGATCCTGGTTGAGACATCGTTCAGCTACCATGCGTAGCTCTGGTGGACAACTTGCACCAAATTTAGGACGCAATTGACCGTTAGCCACGAGCTGTAGAATGGCTATATCGTTCAAACGATTGCCGTTTGCGTCCCGGACGTCGTCGTACGGGATCGTGTGCGTATCCATTTCAGACAGCACAACTCCAAATGAGAACACATCAACGGACTGGTCGTACTTACTACTGCCTGAAATCACCTCTGGCGCCAACCAACGACCCGTACCGACAGCTGCAGTCATGGTTTCGTTAACGGATTTGTACCTTGACGCACCAAAATCGGTCACCTTGGCTTTCATCTCGCCTGACAGCATTACATTGCGAGACTTTAGATCACGGTGCACCAGTGGAGGCGTGAATGAATGTATATACACCAGCGCCTCGATAATATCTACCGCCAGCTGCAACAATTCTGGACTCCAATGACGAGGCGAACTCGGCTCAAGCAAAAAGTCACGAAGATCACCATTTTCCATATACTCAAACAGCGCCTGCAAATCCGTCTCAATTGTCCACGCGCACCCAATAAGACGAACAACATTCGGATGATCAAATGGAGCTACCATCTTGATCTCCTCAATAAACGCCTGCGTACGCCACTTTGTAATCTGGTCGGATCGAAGTCGCTTGGAGGCGAGTAACTGAGATCCTCGGTACTTCACAAGCCAAATGACACCGCACGCTCCGCTGCCGATAGTGCCAATGTCCTCAATCTCATCATACTTTACCTGCAATGACAGCAATTCTTCATCGTTCCAAAGCGAATACGCAGTTGCGCTCTTGTTGCTATACGTACTACGAGTCGAGATTCGGGGTGAAAAATTGCTGCCATCATCCTCGTAGTCATTTGGACAAAACCGTGGCCCTCCACTTACAGGTGTACGACGGCCTCCACGGTAACCTTTGTCGGCAGATGATCGAGAGAGAGGCGGTGATACACCATAAAAGTAAGACGCGCGAACACCTTTTGAGTGGCGCTCCGAGTGGCGGACTTGGTTCCTGTATATCCAGATTGTAGCGAGCACCACGATAGCAAGGACCAATATGCCACCCACAATGCTTCCTACAATGGCAAACACATTTAACGTCAAGGACGAAAAATTGGAGGTGTTGGCATCACTCGTACTATCCGAAATGCATACGGTCAACGCATGAACTTTGCGCTGGTTAGCCGAGCTGCAGCTGTTGATTGATTTTGCAAAGTCTGAGTTTTCCAGATCAAAAAGCGTGAGCCTGCTCAAAAAGTCCGCCTGATCCTGTGTGAACCACGGGGAAGCCAGAGGATTTCCCTTCATTGTCAGCTTATCCAGGCTGTAATGGATATAGATGCTAAGTGGAATACTCGCAAATTTGTTGTCCGTCAGATCCAGCGAAACAAGGTTTGGAAAAACAGCGCGAAAGCTGTCGAGATCATTGTTACGAAATGAACTGCACAATCGCACATTACACTTCTATGAGATAAAACTGAGTTGACAGATGCTTACTTCCAGCTAATGGCACGTACATGTGCATGAGGGAATTCATAGCTGTGGTCGCGGCAATTTCGGTGATGTAGTTCATGTCCAGATCACTGTCAACATGAGGAGTTAGTATGTGATGTTCAGTTATCAGGCAGTCGCAAGAGTGTTTACTTACAGCTTCTGGAGACTGGTGAAATTTGCGACTACGGTTGGAAAGCTTGTAAGCATTGTGTTAGCAAGGCTTAAATTCTGCAAAGCAGCTGGGAGCACGACAGGCAGCTGCTGAAGTGTAGCGGAAGTTGATAGATCCACGTTCTTCAGCACCACATTCGTTACACTAGTCTGTGTGGAGATGACGTCGGAGCCGAAAGTCACCTTGGCCACCTTGCTCTTTACCGATGAGGTGGTACTCGTACCTCCTATCACTATGCTGTCACACCCGAAGCACAAACCAACAAAACCATCGTCAGCCACCGACGTCACATCCTAAAATGAATTCCATCCGACTATCACTGACAAGGAGGTTGCTGTTGGCTGAAGTGCAATAGTACTGATAGTAGAGACTGCGTCATTGCTGATCGACGCGTACGTGTCAGTCTCATCTGGGATGACATTAACCTCATTTTCAAGCAAGGACAAGCTGCTATCTGCCATTGTCTTGTCGTACATTCCAAACATTACTAAAAACGTGAACGTATCTGGATCGTTCAAAGTCTTTGAAAAGCACTGAATAGCACACTGGTCGCTGGTGACACACAAAACTTTGGAAGGGCACATGGAGGCGCCGTAGGCTAAGCACGGTTCGTATTGTGAGCATGCGTCGCTGCAATCTGTCGACAAGGTCATTTCTGTGAGTCCGCACGACTGTCCTATCACACCCTGAATCAGTAATAACACTGTAGTCGCTACCACCGTCTTCATTTCGAACGGTAATCGTTGTATGTCTTGCTTCCGTTGAAGCTTACGGCATCCAACTAAACGGTTCATCAATCGAAACTGAGCAATATACACAAGACTAAATTTTTCTTGACGGATCACAACTTGCTTTTGTGAAGCTCCAAAGCACTTTTAAGTAGATGGTAGTGATGTCTGTTTCTTCCGCTTTTTGAGCTGTTGGAGCACGCAGCCCACTGCACAAGTGCCACCGACTTGATCAGATTCCTAGTCAATGAACGCAAGTCTTTTTGAATTCAGTCAAAACAAGACTGAAAAGACCTCGGAAGTTCAGTCAGGGCTTGGACGGTTTGTAGTTTACTGAATGAAATTGAAAGCAATATCGAGACTAAAGCTGGCGTTGCGGGCACCATGTCTCCTTTCTTCTATGGTTGTCGGCTTGAAGAGCTTGAAAAATTGATGCGCATACGTATGGAGAAGGTCTACTGATTTGGTATTGACCACGTACAGTTTGGTGGTAGTGCATTTGGGCGATATCGGACATTAGGTGGCTAGACAGTCTGAATGGTGCGATCGGCTTAAAGTGGTACTTGATGGTCGCGTAAAAATAAGGCTGAGACTCGTTTGTCGGCAAGAAATGCCTTGACGTGGGATTTTTCTATCAACTTGTCAGTCTTTTTGAGTGAATCACGTAGACTAAGTGGTCGGAGCTGTGCCGTGCCTCTGTGGCAAGATGCGAGTGGTATTCATCATGTTTTGTCTTATCTCTGTAAAAATAAACGTGGTAAAGGAAGGACAAACATGTAATGGAATGCTAATTCCATTTGAGTACGTGACGCCGTCTCGGAGACGATTGAAGATAGTAACTAAAAAAACGATCTTGGCATGAAGCGATGAGGACGTCTCGCATACAAGTATATCTACGCGGATGACAATATGCACAATCTTCCAGCTAGAAATTCAATCTTCAAAGTAGCAGTCGTCAGATCATTCTACGCGGTGGTATCACTGACGCTCTTTCATTGCCTTCAGTACTATTGCTGATACGTAGGTCACATTGCTTTTCGGTACGTTGCTGGAAGCATGAGAATACCCATTGTCGATACAAGTACAGTGAGCTGTTCAAAAAGTCCTCAGGTACCTTTTAAACCAAGGACGTTAACCAGATATTTTAGCTAGCTACGCATCGTACTTGTTCGAATATCCTAACTTGAAATAAAACACAGAGTTAGGAGAGGTTTTTTTTTGGTTTTTACTAGCACTTTTTGCATCGTTTAACCCATCCTAACAGGTCAGAAACATCCTAACCTAAAAGTAGTTATGCCATCTCGTCGACCTCCTAGTCCTAGTCCTTCCGACACCGTCGAGACTCGTAAAATATTACCAGCTCGTAGTTCTCGTGGAAGTCGTATCAATAAGCTCATTGGTGAGGAGGCTGAAGCAGATGCATCGTTTTGGGGTCAATCAGCTTGGCAGGAAGATGGTGAAGACGAGGACTATTCGACCGAAGCAGGTATTTTCTTGCTTCATGAGATGATACGTGCTAATGAAAATGCAATTATGGTAGCATTAATGTACTATGATTTATTTGATGGTATTGCAGAGGAGGATGATATTGTAGACTCTGATTTCGACCAACAAGAAGCTCCAGATGACGACGTCCACGATGCAGAAGAAGATGATGAACCCGCGCGACGAAAGCACTCGGCGGCAAGTTTAGGGCGATACAAAGAACCCATGCAACCTCGGCCGGCTAAAAAGAAGGCTGCAATAGCAGTTGGTGAGACTCCAGTACCTCTTGCTGCACGCCCGACGTCAGTTTATAAGTATGTGGCACCAACGGTGCGCTCGTCGACGGCTAGGAAGTCGTCGATATCTTCAGAGATGAGACATCGAGCATTAAGTGATGCAGCAAAGCCGACTGCAAAGTGCAAAAAGCCGTTGGTAGAAAAGTCGGGTAATCGGTTGACACAAGCTCAATTATTGGCAGAAGCTGTGAGGACAGAGGTAGAAAACACGCAATCGCTACAGAGACTGGAGCAGCTGGAAGAGGAGAAGAAGGTGGAGAGTGTAGCGCCTAAGGCACCATGTTCAGGGAGGATGGTGAGATATTATAGCAGGCTTGGCGCACCCAAGACGATTACATTCTTGAACACGTTGGACTACCCTCCAATCTTTAACCAACCCAAGCCTAAAAAAAGGATTAGTTCGCAACAACAAAAGATCGATAGGATGAAGTTTGAGGCAGAGGAGGAAAAAGAAAAGCAGGACAACGGAATGGCGCAGGGCAACAAATTGGAAGAGAAAGACGGTCAGCAGCATGGGTTGGTACAAAACAGCACACCGACAGCTACGAAAGCGGCGGCTTGAGAGTTTCGAGATTTCGTCATGTATTGTAACCATTTTTTTACATTCTTGAGCTGTATGCCTAGGCAACCGTCTGCGTCGGCACTGGTCAGAAATAGCAGCTTCAACTCAAAGCCTACTGTGTGTGTGTCAGGATAACTACGTTTACGTGTATAACAATTGGGTCAAGCAGCCATGAATCATAACACTGAAGAGTAGAGTTTGTGTGGTTGCCAATCTGATTCTCTGCCTTCATTTATCACCCAACTAAGACTGAAAATGAACCAACGGCGTCTCGGTTTACCAAAGCTCCAAATCTCGCAGATCGGTGTTCATATGAACCAAATTGGGATCTGATTCTTGTAGCTTCAAGTAGACGAATACATTGTTTGCTCCTTAATAAACGGTATTTCTATCAAACCATAACGTGTCTTTTCCAGACCACCCAATGTTATTCCAAATTCCCTCATTCATAACGAAAATGGTCAAAGTGACTAATGTTTGTGTGGTGATAGTGTTGTCTATGACAATGTTAGCAACCTGTATCGTATCAGAAATGAAAGAAAAGGACGATGAGTTGATTCTGGGATTGCTTACTCCCCAATGTTTCGAAGCGTTTGTGACTCACCATGACTTTACTAACGTAGAGTGTATTAAAGCTGTGGTCAGCAAGGCGTTGAGTTATGGCATTATCATGGGCAGTTTGATCCTTAAACTACCGCAGATTCTTAAGATTATGGCGGCAAAAGACGTCACGGGCCTCACCCCAAGCGCTTTTTACATGGAAGTGGTACTTTACTTATCCAGTACGATATACAACCTCTTACGAGGGTATCCGTTAACTACGTGGGGTGAGAACCTAGTGATTCTTGCTCAAAATATCCTGTTGGTGCTATTGCTATGGGCATATTATACACCAAAGATACCAGTTTCGTCTCGATTTGGACTCGTGCTGGTGTTTGCTGCTATGGGAATGGGCATGCTCTCCATTCCGGAAGAATTGCAGTGGCTCCTAGCGTCTGCTGGGATCCCCGTGAGTATTGTGGCTCGTATTCCACAGGTAAGATAGAATTGATGTTGCAAGTTGTGTAGTCATGGAAACTGTTACGAGCTCATCATGATTTTTGCTGGTGTGATGCAGATCTTGTCCAACTTTAAACAGGGTCATACGGGTCAATTGGCGCTCATTACACTTGTGCTCAACTTTGCCGGATCAATTGCGCGGCTGTTTACGACGTTGCAGGAGACGGGCGACCCGGTGCAAGTTGTAGGCTTTGGTGTCGGGATCTTGCTCAATGGCATGCTTGTATTACAAGTGCTGTTATTCTGGGGAGCTACGAATAAGGCTCTTGCTCAGGCGGCTAAGAAGAAGACCCAGTAGTTGCAACTTGTGGCAAAGGCTGCTGCTTTGTTATCATGTAAGCGATTATGCTGCTGGCCTTCGTATTGCTCATTCAGTAAACGTAAGTTTTCATCAATAACCTTTTGCCCCTTCATGCAGCCATTCTCCTTTTCCATGTGCCAAAGTTGGCGCATTGCTGCAAATTTGCATACAAAATGACTGTGTCCTACGCCTCTAGAAATGCAAGAGAACTAGCACACTTTTTGCAGCACCGACTTTTATTTCCTTTACTAAACTGAGTTGAATACTTCCCTTTATTGCCTAAGCCCCAGAGATCACTCATACCTCCCACTTGTTTTCTCTACAGCTCATCCTTCTTCGCTTCCAATCCTATCTTGTACTCCTTCACGTCATGTAATGTTTTTGCACTAGCTCGAGTAATCGCGTCATCCTCACCGTATATCTTGACTGCAATCCTGTGCGCTTGCTCCAACAATTCTATCGCCTCATCCACTTTCTTCTGACGCATCCTGACACCAGCCAACGCATTCAAACTGAACGCGTACGCCAACGTATCTTCTCCGTCCCGCTGCAACGTTACAACACGAGCCATCTCGGCTGCACCAGCCGCCTTATCAACTTCATCCACGGCCAAATACGCCGTCGACAGCTCCATAATAAGCTCTGCGATTCCTGTTGTAAGTCCATTAATCTTCCCACCTTGTGCCTCCACTGCGTCCTTGAGCACCTTCAAATGTTTCTTCTTCTTGCCCATTTTCTTGTATCCTTCCGCAATCCTCAACGTAGCTTCAATGTACGCTTCATGGGTCACTCCAAGTCCCTTTTCGATATGTTTTCGGAGAGTTTTGTAGTTACCAGTAGCTTTCTTGTACTGTTTCTTAGCCATATGCGCATCAGCCAAGCTCCGCAATGATAATCCAAGAGAAGGATGACTGTCGCCATAAATCTTTTCCACCATAGCAATTGAATCTTGTAGCACCTCAATAGCTTCGTCGTATAGCTTAGCTCGGATCAGGACCGACCCGTAGTCATTTAAAATCTGAGCATAAAGAGCTGCGTCTTGCGAAATGTCCTCAGGGTTCGTAATGGCGTGACGACCTTCACCAAATACCCTATTGTGTAGCAAAGTGATGGCCTTACGCAATTTCTCAATAGATTCCTTATAATTGCTGACATCGTTGAGCTGCATTCCAGCATTCCGTAGACCTCGAATTTCTTGGATAACGGGGTCTTGGTCTCGGACTTTGGTAGTTGACGTTGATTTCTCGTCCTTCGTCTCACCACTCGACTCGCATATAGACGGAGTAAGCGCAAAAGCAAGCAGAAACACCCCCACGAACGTCACGCGTAGTATACGCATCGCTGTCAATAATGCACAATGATGCCACGTAAGCGTACTTAAACAACTGCTGAGTTTTTTTGTATAAAATGGCTACATTTTGAATGGCCAAAAAAAGAGTACAAGGACGTCAAGTTTACGAGGTGCTGAAGTGACCAAGGAGACAACGGATGACGAGGAGAAAGGTGTGAAGAAGATTGCAAAACTGTTTACTACATTGCATGAAAAAGTTTTAGCTTGGTACAGTCGAGAACGTGAGGGAATCGCGTTAATCGAAGGGTTTCAGTCGGCACTGCTGGCTCTTCGAGATGCTCAAGCGGTAGCAGAGATTGTAGATAATGAACCGGATAAGAAGGGAGCAGAAACATTGAGTGGATTGGCTGGTAATGTAGTGATGAATCCGTGGCTAGCGGAGGATTTATATGAGCAAGTGCAAACGCTACCGACGGTGTTCGAAGAACTCTTGGAGGAGATGTGCACCTTGCACGTTCAGGCGAGAGAGATCGGTGTGTGGTAGCAGAAGATAGAGCTGATGAAGTGGCATGAACTGATGCCCGTTGTGTTCACAGTACAGAATGAGGAGGACGACGGTGACCAGGAAGTCAAAGCGACGCAATTGAGACCCGTCGATTACCTTCAGATGATAAGTCATGAGCTGGCAACGTTTGAAGCCGAGTATCAGCACATTGTACGTCTGTCCAAGATACCACAACGTCTGCAAACGTCACTGACGATGTTGCTGTTTCTTTGGTTCTTGTAGGAAGCGCTGCTGCGACTCATTTCGTTCGAGACTTCTACTGACGAGCTGCGCACTCTCGTCATCTCGTGGAGTACATCACCTTTCCTGGATCCAGATCAGACCCGCAGATTTTACCAGGTATGATCCAATAACGTACAAGATCTGTAGCTGATCGTTTGCGCTCAAAGTCTAACATGTATCTCTTCTTACCACAGCGTCACTTGATCTCGAGTCAACAACGTACGTAGTCTACAAGGCCACAAACGCAGCAACAATACAAACTCATGTTCCAAGATACTAAAATCCAACAGTTTTCGTCGTACTCGGATCCATGGCCGCTTTGCCATGTCTCCTACCTCACTTAGTCGTGATAAACTGTGCGCACAGATCATTCACATCCTCCAAACACAAACTCGCGACGAAATCTCTCTGGGTCTGCAGCAACAATAACAACAACGCATCAAACGTCACACACTGCGTCGCCCTCGCTCTCTTTACACCAACGTCCTTCATCCTCCTCATTCTTTCGCTTTGCATTCCATTTCTCACCTTTTCAAGCTGTTGCTGGATCTTCGCTGCCTCTTGCGACGAGAAATACGGCGCCAGAAACTTTTCCAACGCGTCTTCGACCGAGTCCAATGGATTGATGTCGCAATCACTTCCAGCAGAAATAAAAATACCGGAACTCACAGGCTTTGTTGGCTCTTCATCGTACTACAAGTGCCCGTGATATACAAATTCCACCCACAGTTACATCATTGGATTGCAAAGGCTACACTGATCCTCCAACCACCATAATGGCAGGTATTGAATCAGAAAAACAACATCAATACATCCAATTACCATGTCATTCCATTGCACGCGGCAGTGTGTCTTTTTGCGCACCACCGGGTAGCGCTCTAGCAAGCAACGAAACTCGCTTTCGTCCATGATTCGTATTTGGGTTACTATTACATAGTTACTATTATAAGGGGTTACTATAATGGAGAGGTACACACTTGATTGCGCAAACGAGACACGAATGTACCCTTTTCTACAGGTTACGCGTACGTCAACATCAAGGTATTATTACCTGCCACCCATTTTTGTCACTACTCTCTCTTCCTACTAATGTCACCACCTATCGCTTCGTCTTTCGTGTCCCACAAGAGCGACGAGCGACTGCTATTTGCTGTGCCTAAGAAAGGTCGTCTACATGATAAGATACTGAAACTTCTAAAAGGTGCTGGACTGGAGTATTATCGTCCAAATCGTGTAGACATTGCGCTATGTTCGAGTCTTCCCGTCACCCTCGTGTTTCTACCGGCATCTGATATTGCTACGTATGTGGGAGAAGGGAATTTGGATCTAGGGATTACAGGTCAAGATATTATTGCAGAGAGTCAAACAAAAGTGAATGAACTCATGTCACTTGGCTTTGGACGCTGTTGTCTTGGTGTTCAGACGCCTGTGAAAGACGCTATTGCGTCACCAGAGCTACTGGCGGGAAAACGTATTGTTACATCGTTTCCTGAAGTAACACGCGACTATTTTAAGAAGTTTGAGACCGAGGTTACAGGTCCTACCAAGATCAAATATGTTTCAGGCTCTGTGGAAGCTGCATGCTCGCTCGGCTTGGCGGATGGAATTGTGGACTTAGTGGAGACTGGAACGACGATGAAGGCCGCTGGACTGGAACTTGTTTCGACAATTATGACGACTGAAGCGGTGCTGATTGCAAATCCACATTCGGTACACAAGGAGCTGCTGCACAAAGTGCACCAGCGCATTTTGGGCTACATCACAGCAACCAAGTACAGGATGGTGTCGTACAATGTAAACAAGGAAAAGCTTGAGATAGCGTCAAAAATAACACCGGGACGACTTGCTCCTACAGTGAACGGACTAGTGGGTGGAGGCTACGCTGTGTCCGCTATGGTGGAGGTCAAAGACGTGTCGGACGTTATGGACCAGCTTCACGACGTGGGCGCTACAGATATTATGATCTTTAACATTGAGAACTGTCGTGCCTAGGACAGCGTTGTGTCCTGGCAGTAGAAATTACTCTACCGCAGTTGTTGTGGTAGTCAAATACAGAATTTTCATGCAAATATTAGTTACTGTGAATTTGCTTGCATTATTTGACACATCTGCTGCCGATATTGACGGCCACTGCAAGCCAACAACATCATATTTGCCATTAGCAAACAACCGGCTTTGGAGGCATTTATTCACTTGCTCGTTGTGTAGTTGGCAATTTGTCTCAATGTGTTTTCGCAAGCTAATGTTGGGGCTGCTAGGCAAATATTCAATAGAAAAGTTACAGTTGATGTCTCCTGATTAGCTCAATATACCAACGATGCATGACTACAGGGCTCCGTAAACTTCACCATGCTCGAAAACTCATTCAGCATCGAATAGAGCACTAGCAATGAAGTAATCATGACTGCTGGTAAAGAAAATAAATTGCTAGGTGAAGGCCGCAGTTGACAACACATACGTCGACGCGAAAGCTGGTGATGGTGTCTACTACAAGCTTATGTAGACGCTACTAGCTCTGCTGCACCCATAGCTTGCCAAGTCTTGCCACATATTTGTCGATCCAGTTCTGCTGGCTTCAAACTTAGAGATTCTTTTATACCTACGTTTCTATCCGCTGGTAGAATAGGCTCGAAGACTCTTTTCTATTTTCTACTTGTTGCGTGAGCTGTTACGTAAGGTGTCAGCTTAATGTGCCACGTTGTACGCTACTAATCACCAGATCAATAAGTTTACTAGCTCCATTACCCATGCGCAAAAGAGCAGGCTGACCGTCCGCCGGGTATAATGATGCCCTGTACTGAGTGCCGCTCTAGCCGCTTCCAATGCTTTTTCAGGTGTATCGAATGCATTAGTAGTTACACTAAAATCCTCAATAAAGTTACGAAGAAAATTTCAGTCCTGGTCACCGTGAAACGTCTAGGTCTTGACGTCTCATACAGTCGCTGCGTCGGAAAAAATGAAGTCATTAAGATCACACTGGTTTAAGAATATCAATTACAGAGTTGAAGACCTCACACAGGTACGCAATGTATAGTGCCACCAAGCGTAATTATTACCAAGTTCTGGTCCAAGGTTGGCCCTAAATTTGGCCGTACTACGCGCCAACTATCACCTTATGAGTTGCATCCAGTGCGCAGCCTTATCACGGCGCTTCCCTACAAGACAACTCGCAAGAAAATGGAAAATGGTCTGGTGCTCATTTCGGCCGCTGTTCTATTGGTGGGCACTATCAACGCCAATGGCGAAGAGCACCGTATGCATTGGAGCTAAGAGTTGAGAAGCAGAGATCAAAGCAATGTGCTCCAAAAGTGCTGCTTGGATACGGGCTACGAGTTCATTGGTGTGCTAGAATTTAGTCGGGAGGCGATCGGTCTACTAGCTAGAAAAGAAGGAAAATGAAGTCATGAGTGCGCCGTGTAGATCGTGTTTGTAAGTACAGCAGTGACATTTGCGAGTTTGTGTAGTTGCAGGGAATATCAAGCACGAAATAATTTAGAAAAAAAGCAGATACCACATGTTGAGCAAACAACAACATTGACTCCATGCCTTGTTTGTTCTGGGTGTGAGTAACAAGCATTGGAAGGCTGATATTGTATGATAGCGAAAAATTCTAGGCTTAATTGCGTACCGAATGAATGAAGAAGTAGTTGTTGCACTTCAAGAACGCGCCGGCTTTTTATAGTGGCCGTTGGTATGACTACTGGCTGTATCGAATGAACGTGACGACAGGCAGCAACCAAGTAGAGGGCAGGACTCAATCTTTGAATCGCTATCACTATAAGCCGTTCAAACTGCGCTGGCTACTTCAAACATATTCAATGTCACAAGGCATTCAGTTGTAATACCTTTCCAAATTGCAGAATCATGGCAGGCGAATGTTGTCCGTCCGAATATCGAACTTATATCACTTCTACAGTGTTAATGTTTCTCTTCGGACCAGATCGGATTCTAGATACATTCACCCCAACGATATTTGTTCTTGTAGCCGAGCTACTGTAGCTACGCTACTTATGCACTATATGAAGATGCACTATGTGCAGATGCACTATGTGGAGAAGAAGTAGTCAGACTACTGTAGCAATGCTACTTATGCACTATGTGCAGAGAAAGACAAGCTCAGATAGCTTCTACGTCTTAACTGCTTAACTCTCTAGGCTAGCTCGTAAGCTTGTGCCTATCGGTTATTACAACCGAGTCTCAGAGAGCCTAGTATCATAGATACAATTCCTATATGGAATAGAACGCTCTAGCAACTAGTGCTATACAGAGCAGGTTTGAAACTGATTCATATTTATGTTTATCTTCTAACACTAATAATGGAAACACCTACTCTATATTTAGTGCTAGTCACTATTACTGGCTCTATAGCCTTTAATTATTATGCAAACATGCATAGTCACTATACTTAACTAAGTATTGTGACCACGTGGCTCTCTGCCACGATGTGACCCTTCGTACTTCAGGTACGGTCACATCACCTACTTTTGTACCCAAGGTACAGCCACACCACATTGGTGTGGCAGGTGTGTACGTAAAATACACACCTTTGTCTAACCCCGTTACAGTTATACACTATGGTGCTTTATAAGCTTCTGTTAGATGCTACGGTGCTTATACGCTAAAGTGAAGCGAAATGTGCTTTATAAGCAAGTTTTGAATACTTAGGTGCTTTATAAGCTAGTGTTAGACACTAATATGCATTGTAGCTAGTGTTCGACACTAATGTGCATTATAAGCTAGTGTTCGACACTAATGTGCATTATGAGCTAGTGTTAACATTACGGTGCTTTGTGAGCAAGTGTTACACACTTATATGCTCAATCGCTTATAAGCAAGTGTTTAAAACATTGAAGTGCTTCAAAGCAAGTGCTAGGCACATAATGCTGGAAAAGCATGTGTTTGTGAACATACAAAGGGTATTAATAATACCAAGTGCTTGGCACTTAACGCTTATAAGCAAGTGTCGTAACACTATAATGCTTTAGCGTGAGTGCAATGCACTGTATGCTCAAGGAGCATGTGTTGTAACACTATAATGCTTTAGCGTGAGTGCAATGCACTGTATGCTCAAGGAGCAAGTGCCAGAACACTTACGCTTTGTTTGCAAGTGCAAGCACTTATTGCGAGGCAAGCAAAATGAGAAGAAAATAAAATCGATGCCTCCAATTAAGTGCGAAATTTGTTAGTACGTCGGGTCGCACGGACTGGTGGGGGGAGGGTGTAACGGGGATAGACGAAGGTGTGTATTATACATACACACCTTGCCACACCAATGTGGTGTGGCTGTACCTTGGGTACAAAAGTAGGTGATGTGACCGTACCTGAAGTACGAAGGGTCACATCGTGGCAGAGAGCCACGTGGTCACTATACTTAGTTAAGTATAGTGACTATGCATGTTTGCATAATAATAACAGGCTATAGAGCCAGTAAATAGTGACTAGCACTAAGTATAGAGTAGGTGCTTCTATTATTTAGTGTTAGAAGATAAACATAAATATGAATCAGTTTCAAACCTGCTCTGTATAGCACTAGTTGCTAGAGCGTTCTATTCCGTATAGGAATTGTATCTTTGATACTAGGCTCTCTGAGACTCGGTTGTAATAACCGATAGGCACAAGCTTACGAGCTAGCCTAGGAGGGTTAAACACCCTAAGACGTAGAAGCTCTCTGAGCTTGTCTTCCTCTGCACATAGTGCATAAGTAGCTTTGCTACAGTAGTTTGACTACTTTCCATAGTCATAAAATTCTCTCACTGTGCTATACTTTACAGTAGTTTACTTTCTTCTGCACATAGTGCATCTGCACATACTGCACAAGTAGCTTTGCTACAGTAGCTCGGCTACACCTGGTAGCACTTGTAGTCAATCCCGCACCTGGGTTTGCGACTACTTCTCTGTGTGAGAATGGACATCGTCATGAGATGTCAGCGGTTGGCCTGTCACAGGCACAACAGGAAGGGTTGCAGAAGCTGCTCTCCTATCCTTGGCCCTAAGGGCGTGGAATACCTCATCGCCCAGGGCGAAGAAGAGGTTAACAAGCGTATTCATATGCTTGATGAATATAATAAAGCTCTAGTCGAGCATGTAAAGGCACAGATGCCTTCTTCTGCGCCTTCGCCCATGGCGACTATGGCGCAAGAAGTGGTCCGCAGACCAAAACCCATACAAATGGAAGTCGATAAGTTCGACGGCAAAGAAGGTGACAACCTTATGCTTTGGTTCCGACAGGTTGAGTCGGCTATGTTTATAGCCGACATCACCTATGAACCGTACCGTGTGGGCTTTGCCACGGGCAAGTTAGGTGGTTTAGCCAAACAGTGGGCATTCACATGTGGTGCATCATTGCAAGATGCTTTTCCCCACATGGGCCGATCTGAAAGTTCAGATGACCCGGCAGTATGCACCGCCAAAACAAGCACACCGTAACCGGTCGCGGTTTTTGGCGTGTCGCCAAGGCAAGCGTGAGCTTGCGGCATATGTACAAGAGTTGAGAGCTCTCATTGCTGCCATGGTCATAGACCCTATGCCTGAGGCAGTGACCGTCACGGTCTTCATGGAGGGCCTCCGAGTTGGCGTTGCCAGAACGGAAGTCTTCCGGGTAAACCCGTCCTCATTCGAGGAAGCTGTTGGAGTGGCATGGAATGCCGAGACCAACTTTAAGGCCGCTAGGCCTGCCACTTATAACTACTCGTCTGATGGGTCTGTTACCCATGGACTGTAGTCAAGTGGAGGATGAAGAAGCTGAGCTTCAAGCTGCGGAGCAGCAAATTGTGCGCAGATGTTATATCTGCAAGAGCACAGGCCATTTGATGGCAAAATGCCCTGCAAGAAAGGCATATTTGGCCTCGAAGGGCCGACGCCCCATGGGTAAACCTTCTGGTTTGCCGCGGGGAAACGGCGGAACCCAGTAGGCGCGGGGCGCCCTACTGGGGGGAAGAACTGAGTTCTGTTGAACCTCTAGGAGGTAGAAGTAAACAGGGCCCAGCCCCAAA